AAGAATCCTTAAGAATGACTTACATTTGAAGGTCATGGTTTTCTACTTGTGTAAAACATAAATGGTTCATAACCTCAAAATAAAAATAATATTAAGGGAGGTTGCAGGTTGCCATAAATTTAAATTTGCAAGTAAGGCCAGCTCCAGATCATGCGGTCATTGGCCAAATATTTATCAAACCCAAATAAATGCCGTATCGTGTGGATGCTGCATATCGATACCTACGTTTGAAAGCGTGTTAAATATTCGCCAAAGCTATACAAACGGCGCACCAACAAAATGTACGCCGCACCTGCTGCAACGACTACATCACTACGGTCCACTTCCACAAACTGGAATTTGTACACTCGTAAAATAAAAAGAAATGGTAAAAGTACGAAAGTACAATTGAGAAATAAAAATATCATGCATATAACGTTTAGGGGACATTTGTCACGTGTTCACACTTCACATTAGTATCGCGTGTATGGTACAATTTGGCGTTATAGATTTTAACCAAATAATCTGCAAATATTTGACACATCTGTGTTTGACGAATGTTTGGCAAGTGAACATAACATAGCAGCGATGGGTAGACTTGAAAATATCTTATGTTGGTAGAAATTAGGAAAATTATAAAATAATAGAATTTATATTTTTAAATTTATAGAACAATATTGACATTTATAGTAATTAATAAATTAAAATTGTATTAATGTTACTGAGCATGCGCGCATTAAACATAATTTCATGTGAGCGAAGTAGCCTCGCAACACGATATCATTCAAGAAAAGTTTGATATTGTATTGTTGAAGAGTATGTCTGTAATAAACCACTCAAAGAAAAAAAAACACTCGATAAACACACTGACACAGCACAACACCAAGAAAAACAAAAAAAGTACTTCGTAGAACTAGAAAATGCCAAGATTAAACAAAAGAAGAGAAAATACGCTAATGAAGACAGCGATGACATATCAACAAGATCTCACCTTCGTATGAGGCTATTCTTTCAGAGCATGCGCATTAGTAAAAACACGGTTAATGTTAAATTTTTACTTTATTTAAATTTAGGAATATTCTTTTATATCTTTTTTTGTATGTTTTAAGCACATAAGTGTATCTATTTTACGATACGCGTGGTTGTTCTTAAAAATTCTAAATCCTTGTAAAAATTAATTAATTTGAAGTTGTTCATTTCTATAGTATATATGTAAATAGTAACAAGGGTCAGATCGGTCTGTACAATTTCAACTATGACAATTTGGTGCGGGTTGCCTAAATATGTGACGTCACACTAAAAGAGTCTATTTCCTAGAATTAGGAAAATTACTAAAGATCTGTTGACCTACTGATGGAGTGTATAATAGTTAGCGATTTTTACATCGATATTTTAAGTAGAATTCTATAAATCTAATAATTTCTACCAGTGTTGCCAATTTAGCGATTTTGTCACTAAATCTAGTGAGTTCCAGAATTTATGTAGAACTTACGAAAATGATCATATTTATATCTGTATTATATTTATTATCTGTCATTGATCCGTGCTTAACAATATCGCTCTGTGCAATAAAATTAAGATATAAAAAAATTACTGAGTGTCAAATTGAAATATTTTCGAATAACTAATAACTTCCTGTTTATTTTCCACTAATACGCTTGACGCAAAAAATTGCACTGGGATGGATTTGGTCTCTTTCGCTTCCACACTTTGTTTTCCGGCCTGTGCAGGGAAACAAGACGGAGAGAAACCCATCCGGCCTACACAACGGTTTAGTAAACGTACACACTTTCAATTTAGCCCGTACAGATATAAACTATGATAACATGGATATTTTTGTACTGCATTTTTACTTTTGTTTGGTACCCGAACGCTGAACACCCACAGCAATTTTGATTTTTCGGCGCCTATGCCTAGGTGGGGCGAGCAAAGAGGTCATTTAAACTTTATATAACCAGAACGTTTGCTCTAGATATAATATCTGTAACACAACATTCAGATAAGCTGTTAGTCGATTAGAACAACGTAAAATGTGAAATATAAAACAATGAACGTCGATTAACGTTAAGGAATCCTTTGTCATCCGACAAATCTAACTAATTTTTCCCTAACCTCCATGCCTTGTATCAATAATTCGCTAGCCAGTACCTAAATACCGATGTGACGTTAAACAAAAATTAATTGGCTATTTGGGACATTAATATACAGCGTTTACGTCGCTCCACTCCAAAATTTATATTAATAATAGAAGCATAGCACTTAGCAGTTAATCAGAGTTTACATTAAACTGGCATCTGGCGCCGTGCTATGTTCATGGGTAAGGCAAAAAGGGCTTTATTGGGCTTTATTTGAGTCCTACATAAATTTTTAATTGTAATCTGGGCCTTCTCAGTACACTCGGATGCTGCAGAATTAATAGATTTATTTAAAATTCCATCTTATCATTATTAATGGGTCTAGCTGACTTAAAGGCGTTTGTAACGCTTCTACGCTGGCTCGTACTTTGGTACCGCAAATCCTTGTGTATATTGTGATATTTTAAATATCGTGGCTACGTGCTATTGGTAGTCGTGCTTTATTTTATATACGGAGTATTAGCAAACACAAGTCATTTAATGGGAATAATGTTTCACTATGCCCTTTACTTGAAATTACTGAGAATTATAAACTTTATCAGAAAGTACACATTCGTGTTTATTGTTTACTTTTTTCTGTGGGAAAACGCAAATTCAATACAAGTCATTACGATAATAGTATTTATATTTAATATGTACTTACAAGTTTTAAAAATAAATATTATATAGTTTTAAATATGCAAAAGGGAGAAAATACGCTTTTTTACAAAATTTCAATAGCGGTGGAGTCTTCCTATACTCAAAACTGCATCGTAAGCGAGTTTTATTGCTGAATACCTGGGTGCAACGGCTTCGTCTGGAGTAATAAGGAAATTTTTTGTGGAACATCGAGAAATTTTGAATAATCATGGCCACGATGTTCATCGGTACAAAAACTAGCCAGGTCTCTTTTGGCCAGTTGTGATTTAAGTGTAAAATGAACCATAGCACACTTAGATCGTTTTTTGTCAGCGACAACTGAACTTAAAACTGAATTTAAAATGATAACGACCGCTTCTGAACGACGTTTATTGCTCCTTCCTTATTCATTAAATTTATTTCTAGATGTTGCAAAACACCCATCCACAAATATCTGTATTAAACCATAATATTTCTATGAAAATAATAATTTTTTTGTTTTATGAGAAAGTGTTATATACACTTATTAAAATTTTATGTAACCTAATTTAGATAATATTCAGATTTAAACCCAGTTAGGATTTGTCTAGCGTTATTTATTAATTTAAATACCTACATATATTAAAATCAGGTGAACGAACTACAAAACCTAAAGTGGAACCTACCAACCACATGATGAATCAATTTTAACACGGTTGTGTATGCCATAAACCAGTTGTACGGGGTGCGTTTAAAATTAGAGTAATTTATTTTATTTTGCGCTGTTAAGCCTTACGCATTTTGTTACCTATTTTATTAATAAAAAAAAATCTGCCAGTTGTAAATTATACTGAATGGAAAAGAAATGTGATATAAATTCATTATTTTCGAAATATAAGTAAGATGTGGCCGAGTTCGAATATAATTTTCCAAAATTCAACAACATAATTTCTCAACTTTCTGAGATAAAAAATAAAAAGTTTTGTCTCTGAAATGGGCTAATTTACATTAATATTAATATAAAAACAATTCCACGAAGTTCGGGTGCGAATGCAAAGCCTGCTATAATTTTTGTACCTACCCCCAAAATTTAATTTTATTGAAAATTTGGCGCAAACGCATATAGATGCTGGGAGCTTCTAATTGATGTTGATGCCCAAATCGTAAATATCAAAAATACAGGGTGCCCAAAAACTACAGTAAAACCCAAGTCAATATTATCGGAGCAACAAACCTCAAAATTTTTTTAAATTAAATTTTTTTTAAAACAGCTTTGCAAATTTGGTGCACATACAATATTGATAACAAACTAGAATTAGAAATAAAATTATTAAAATCCTGAAGTTCCTTAATCCTGAATGTTTAAATGGCCGTTATTGGTTAGAAAAATCATCATACGTTAACCGTCTTGATTTTATGAAAAAATTAAATTTTAATTTAAAGAAACAATCCAATTAAGCAGATTTAAGTGCATTCAGCTAACTGTATAAGACATTATTTTATTTATATGCAAATTCTGCTTCATTAAAAGTAAGCTCAATGTCCATATCGACGTTTTTTATAAATAAATATTCTCCTCTTAGCGGTTGAAAGTAAAATCGCTGTGGGTGCTCACTGCTCACTACCCTCAGCAAATGCAAACGTTAATTAGGACCAGTCATACAACAGTGGTGCACCAAATTAAATAAAAAAATGTCAAACGGTATTTATTGTGCTGGTTTCAAATTTTGCAGTACAAAAAAAGAGTGTTGGCCTTGGAACAGTCAGTGTATAAGTGTACCCAATTATTTGACGTTTTTCCTAAAAATCATTGGTTTGTAAGATCTCCAATCATTAAACAATTATTGAGTACCCAATTCTTTTCTAAGAAAATGATCCGTTTTTTAATAGTAGGACGTATTTTCATCGAACTTTCGAAAATAAAATCTCAATTTTTGGAGGTAAAAAATTATGATCGCAGGCTCTGCACTCGCATCAGAACGAGGCTGAAAAGTGCAGAATTTCATGTAATTCCAACACACTTTTAAATCTCGTGTACATTTTAATGGCCGTGGTCACCTGAAACCGAAACATCCATCTACTCTCCAGCGAAATCTAAAATGATTCGTGACTGTCAAAATCCATGAAGTTGCGAGATAAATAAAAGGAACCCATTGTAGAATAAATTGCTATTCATTTTTTACTAAAACAATGTCAACATTCAGATTTACGCTTTGCACAGTATTAGGAAAATGTAATACGAACCAACGGACAACAAAAATTATAATCAATTTTTTTCTGTTGTTGCAGGTTTTATTAATACCAATGCTTTCCCGTCACTACAATTACATGGTAAGTTCATTTTATTATTTACCGGATTCGCTTGATAGATGATCTCAGATTTAAATAAAATTTGCATTAATCGCTGAAAATCATTTATTTTGACAAATATATATGTCTATCATTTTATAATATTGTTAAAATATGAAAGGCTACTAAGTTTTATGACCATTAAAAAAAATCAATATGAAGAAAAATATCAATAGCAATAAAATATATCTTAAAAGTCGATCGTGTCTAGTCATGCGCGTTTTTATTAAATCTACCCCAATTTTGGAAGGGCACGTGGATGAAGTGCATCGACCCCATTCACGTTTCGGAAGGGGTCGCTGCATCGGCGGCGAGACTGACGACATGGCAGGAAGTAACTGTATTTGCCATTTTTACTTAAAAACTAAATATTTTTTAATACCTCGCAATAATTTAAGGTTGATAACGACAAATACACGAGTTTTCCGCTATTTGGTTTAGTTTTACAACAGAAAGCATGTACCTTTACGTAAAAACATTGTCCATTCTATAACTTCACACTTAACGAACGAAAATCTGAAATATTTCAGTTAATTAACGAATGATCGCCTCGTTTCTTTTTATTGTTTTGACTATACAGGGTGCGAAAACATAAAAATAACATTACCTGAAAGTTTTTTTTGCACACACTTTTTAAGTTGTTTTTATATTCATTGGTTATATGGAAAATGCCATGTAATTTGTTTGATTTCTGAAGAGTTTACAAAAGTTAAAATCTGGCAAATATTTTACGTTTTGTCTTATTTTTAGGTAAATCGCCGTACTTTCCAGGACTGGATGATCAGGCTGGCCCTGTTCTCCTGGAAGAACCAAGTCATCTAGTTGATAGTACCCTAGGAACCCAACCGCTCAGTTCTCCTTCTAGGTCTTCGCCCCACTCGCAGGGTTCTGAAGGTGGCGAGCGGTTTTCTAGGAAAGTGTTCGTCGGTGGTCTTCCACCAGATATCGATGAAGATGAAATTACAGTCAGCTTCAGAAGATTTGGACCTCTAGTCGTTGATTGGCCCCACAAGGCTGAAAGCAAGTCTTACTTCCCACCAAAAGGTTACGCTTTTCTGTTATTTCAGGTAAGAATACCACCCTCAAGTTAAAATTTACAGTGTGTATTTATTATATTTTGTTGTTCCTAGGATGAAAATTCTGTTCAAAGTTTGATAGATGCATGTATAACTGACGAAGATAAACTTTACTTGTGTGTCTCATCTCCAACAATCAAAGATAAACCTGTACAGATCCGACCTTGGAGATTATCCGATGCTGATTTCGTATTGGACGCTTCTATGCCGTTAGATCCGAGAAAAACCGTCTTTGTTGGTGGTGTTCCGCGACCCTTGAAAGCTGGTAAGTGAAGCAATTTCACACACTTACATACCATTTGCCATTTTGGATAGATTATACTTGTTCCCTGAGCATTTTAGAACCCCTGACTTTATTAGAAATATTCATCATTACAGGTTTAAAAAGTTCAGCTAAATTGTTTTTGCGTAGGCAGAATCTGATTCTGCGCATATAATAAGTTCAAATTGTACGACACGAAATAACTACTGAGCATGTGCAGTACCTGCTTGGGTAACACTTTAAAATATGTAAAATTTGTAGCGCAAATACCGAGTATATATGACACCAATGAAAATCGCAAATATATTATTATAACATCGTTTCGAAGTAGAAAAATGTTCACAGTTTCAAGTTAACGGCAACTGGAAGAATGGACAGCCCGTATATTATTTTTGAACTTAATTAACTACAAAAGGTTATAGAGATTGTCGTAGCATCTTTGAGAAGTTAAAGTTTTCAAAAATTGTGTCCGAAACGGCGGAATGTAGATTTTGTGCTTGTATTAAATTCGCAAAAATATGTTAGAGTATCAGCAACATTTTCATTTAGGAGAACATATCAAGAAGCCCTCGTAACTTTTCCTACCATTGACCAAAGGTAACAGTGACACACCCTGTAGATTAGATTGAACCACTGAAATCCGCAAAACGTTGAAAAGCCGCACTCTTCGCAATGCGCATTTCGCTAGCAGTTAGCATCATTCGTAATGATTAAAACTGTCCAGATAATGCCGGGTTCATTATTGTAAAACGCGCCTTGAAATTATATTTATAAAGTCAGTTCAAGTATTTATTATATTACGTGTAAAATTTGACATAGTAAATTAGCATTATATAGTTATAAAATATTTGAGTTATTCACTTTGAAAATATAAATTTATTAAAATATTTATTACTCTCATCGATAATTTTTAATTAGTTCTAATGCGTTTGCGGTTAAAGTGTAATTGATTATTCATTGTTTTTTTTTGGTTTCGAAACTAATCTAGTAAATACACTTTCACCAACAGAAAAAGGTTAGGTTTTTAATGCACTTCAAATTTCCAATTGTAACATTTCCAATATTTAAGAGCCGACTTCCGGTCGATATTTGCTTTTACAAAAACTATTAATAATTTTTTTTTCTCTGAATCGGATTAGCAACTTTTCATATCTATCGCGCATATTACTAAGTAACTAACTACAAATGAGTAACCAAATCATGAACGAATTACATGTAGGTACTGTGGTATCGATAGAATTCGTTTTAAATAACACTGACTTATACACATGCAACAAAATTTTATATACGACGGAATGATACTAACGCAGCAGGAAAACAATTTTTTTCGCAATACAATGGCTGCGCAAATGCCATTGAATAGTCATTGTACAGGGCCGTAGCCAGGGAGAGTCCAGTACGAAAACGCAAGTTTATGATATCGCGGAATATCAATTTAATTCCTTTTATTAATATAATTTTCAATATTCCTCTAATAATGAAAAGTAAAGTTTACAACAGTGAGAAACATAATTATGTTAAAAGAATAAATTAGCTAAATTTGAATACAAATATATTTTAGCAAGACTTCCAGTATCTTGCACAGTCATTATCACTGAAAACCTCAGACATTTGAAAACCACAGACTATTTTGAAAATTGGATCACTGCTTGTAACTCTTCTGTGGTATTTCTAACTAGCGGCCCGTCCCGGCTTCGCACGGGTGGACATTTATTTTAAACATTTTGGGATATAAAAAATATAGCCCATGTTACTCGGGGATAATGTAGCATTCTATAATGGTGAAAGAATTATCGAAATCCGTCCTGTAGTTTTTGAGTTTATTCGTAACAAACATACATACAAAAATACAAATCTTTCCTCTTTATAATATTAGTATAGATATAGATTAAAAAGATCTGATTTTTTTTGAGAACTACTAGTTCTTGAGTTATTTAAACAAAAAAAATATTTGTTCGTAGATTATACCACTAAATTTACATCCGAATTCAAAAATATTTTTTATTTTAATTAGACCAAGTTTCATCTTCCACATATCTTCAGATACATTTTAGAAAATGTAACTTTTTTTTCAAATTTTATTGCCGTCCTAGTATTTGACCAGGAAAATCATTAAAATGTGTTTTGTGGTGTTTCACTACGAAGTTGTTATCATCAAGGAACAGCAACTGAATTAAGTTAGTGAAAATATGTCATGTGATTTATATTTTAATTTCAGTTGAACTGGCAATGATAATGGATAGACTCTATGGTGGTGTTTGCTATGCGGGCATAGACACGGATCCAGAGCTGAAATATCCAAAAGGAGCAGGCAGGGTAGCGTTCAGTAACCAGCAAAGCTATATTGCAGCGATCAGTGCACGTTTTGTCCAGCTCCAGCACGGAGACATTGATAAGAGGGTAGAGGTAAAACCTTATGTCCTCGATGACCAAATGTGTGATGAATGTCAAGGACAACGCTGTGGGGGCAAATTTGCCCCGTTCTTCTGTGCTAATGTAACATGCTTACAGGTATGGTAAATTTTCTATTATTTGAAGTAATATAACACCTTACAGTTACATTCAAAACAATTGAAATTTCTGTAGTCCGAGGTATTTTGAATTTTTCGATTAAATTCTTTATGAAACACCCGGTATAATCTAAAATTATTGTTTCAGTACTACTGTGAACATTGCTGGGCCACAATCCATTCGAGACCTGGTCGGGAATTCCACAAACCGCTAGTGAAAGAGGGCGCCGACAGACCCAGGGCTGTGCCCTTCCGTTGGTGTTAACGCAGGAGCGCATAGTGCTGCAGCCGAGGGCTGTCCCACCCTTTAGCTTATTACCATACCACTGGCGGTGGCAGCCCCGCTGTTCATCGCATAGGCAAAAATTATATAGTAGCAATTATACATATTTAAAGTATACATGTAACCAATAATTATCTTCTGTATGGCGCCTGGTGGTAGCGATTATTTCCGCTGCGCCAGTGACAGGGTGAGCCTCTTAAAGATGGCGCTCTGCATAAAACTTAACAACACTCAACATTTGAATTCAACAAACTGTTATGACAATGTTACTGTTACTATAAAAATAGGTATGAAAATTTGTTAAAACTATGTTATTGCTCCATTTTTAACATTACTAGTTTGTATTAACTTAGGATATAAAAAAAATAACGAAATGCTAAAAAAATAATGGTCCAAAATTCGTATATACTAAATAACTACAGCAAATATCGATTTAATAAATAAAAATAAATTTAATGGCTTGCATTTTTTGCATTTACAGTTCGTTTTTGAGATGACTACTAAAACCCTAAAGAGCTAGGAAGTAATTTATGCATTCGTGCTGCATCTGTTAATAAACTAATGCTTGAACTCAATTGCAATTTCAGTTAATTTACACTCATCTAAAACTGATTGAATTTGAATGTTGAGTAATGTTGAGTATGAAAGTAGTGCGACACAGTCAGTCATTTTCAGGGTATTGTAAATACTAGTGTAATTAGCAAAGCTGTGGCTGGGTAGCGGAAAATCTCGCTTTAGCGGCGACCACTTAGCCCCAAGTACCTGACCGGCCCTGACTACCCGGCATCTTGCAATATTTTACCTTGTTAGCTTACCCGATTCACCGCATCGCCTACCCCTTGTCTAACGTGGTCTCCAGTTTTATTTTGCTTGATCGCCACATCTTGTTACTACCACACCATTTATAATAGCTAAATAATTTTTATCGTATATAACAATTTAAACTTTTTTTAATATTTACTAATCTATGCCGTGCTTTAGACTCTTCCAAATTATTTAGATATGTCTATATCTAAAGGGGTTACATATCAGTTTTGCCCCTTTTTGGTTGGCTGGTACAACAAGAGCTGACTAAACTGTGACGGTAATGAAGTGGTTTTAGCCATTCAAAAAATCATAATGAAATATATTTATAATCCTACTCACTAATACAGGTACAATTTAGTTGTCACCTACCTGTATACTCCGTATAAGGTGGAAAAATTGTTTTTGAAAACTTTGTATACTACTGGAAATGATTTGTATGTTTAAGTTATAGGTAAGTTGGATCCTTATAAAGTAAAGTATGATAGAATGTTTTCTAATTAATTTGGATTGGGTTTATGCTTGAATGCTTTATGCATGGATGTTCCAAGTTATTACCTGTTTCTGTGTTGTTTCCATATAAATGTACTTAAATTTAAAAGAAGTATAGGAAAGTTTTAGCACATAGTTGAAAATTGCTCATTTAAATTTGTATATTCAGGAGTATTCTATTAAAGGAATAATAAAATTGGAGACCATGCGTGTTCAGTCTTGAACTGACTGCTTCCCGCTTAATGTCCGCCTACTGCTGTCCACACTCTAGATCCTTTATTTTCATGTGTGATACCAATAGACGTCATAAATGTATTAAATAAATTGCACGGATATGTATAGTATATATTATATATAGTACCAGCTATTCTAAGACTTTGTATTTTTTAAATTTGAATTTTTATACTAAACTGTTATAAATGGTGATTAGTAAAGATTGATGTGTGCAATAATGCGTCGAGCAGGCCAGCTTAAGTGGCGACTTGGCGTTTTAGAGTTTTATCTTTAATAACCGTAATTAATGAATACAATGTTTCCTAGGTAATTGTGTAAATATGCCAAGCGATGAGCAGACAAGTGGCTAGCGACACCCGCACTCCAGTAGTCAGTGTGCTGAGGTCCTACGCCAAACATTTTACGATGTTGACAGTTAATGTGTCTTGTCGCTTGGGAAAACCATCTACAACATGGTACAAATAAGTAATGATATGATTTGTAAACATTTACACTCCTTTTTCTACTGTTTGTATATTTGCTCGCCTGCCCTGCAAGGGGGGAATAGAAGATAGTCAGATATGGTGGATGACCGACATTTGTATCATATTCTGTAGACCGTTGTCATTTTTATCTAATTATATAACTTTTTATCCGTTTTATGAGATTTAGAATCGTGTGCAGCCAGATAATTTCAAACTGGCTGTGCGAATTTCATATTTTTAATATGTAAGCTCTGTATTTATTGGAAATCTTTAAAGTTGTATATTTTTTACTTTTTATAACTATTTTGAAAGAAGCTTTTTTAGTTACTATTTCAAAAGGAAAGGACCAGGATTGCAATCAATTACAATGTTGATCCTGCAATCAGCAGCCTGACGTCATGAAATTCATACCAGTCCCATGGTATCAGTTTCATATATGTAGTTACCATTAGTGCAATACATCGGGCTGTGCCTACTGTGGATTTTAGCCCGATTAGGGATAGTCAATTGTTTCAGATTCTTATTGTTGGCCAAGTGGTTTTTTCGGTTTTTGTCCGTTTCAACCATTGGCGCTTTGACTAGCACCAAAGTAGAGTTATTGTATTATTTTTTGTAACTGTATTTACAAAATATTTAAATTGTTTTTATAATTATTTTATACACTTTTATATGTTTGTTAGTCAATTTGAGGTAATGTTTGTAAAACTTCTTAAGAAGTTCCTCCTTTAATATTTTGTTAGATATCAGACTTTTTATGTTTTTTATAAATATATATAAAATGTCAATTTGTGTTTATTTGATAAACTGCTGTTAAACTTCCACCATTTGTTTTTTTCCTTAAGTTTATTCATTGTACCCAACAAAAATAAAAAATTACCTAACTATTTACTATTTCATAACTCAGGGGGGAAGATCCCGCCTCGTTCGTAACAAAATTTACTGCACATATGCATATTTACAAAAAAAAAATTTTTTTTTATTTATTTGGGTATTTTGCAACATTAAAAGCAGAAAGGATTTAGGTAATTTAAAAATTTTAAATAAATAAGGCCTTGCCATAAAAGATCAGTCACATATGGTTGACTTTATAAACTTAGCCTAACCAGACATATCTGCATTGAGAAAATACAATTCATTACATGCTAAGATTTCGATTATTTTTTCAGTCTGATATGCAAAATTTAACGAAAACAAGTGAAATTCAAAAATGGAGAAAAATCTCGTATTGGACAGCCATTTTGATTAAAAGTTTTTATAACGAAAACAGAAGTTTTCAAAATGTTAATTTGTGATGAGTTATTTTCATAAAATCATGAACAATAGACTCCTTTTTCGATGTTCACTTTCTGGTTAGATTAAAAATCAACCTTTTGATGATCATTTGTAATTGTTGTAAAACGTTAATAAAAAATAAATACAGACAATAGGTATAGCAATTTGTTTTGATCTGGAGATTAGTGTTTTCATTTATAATGATAATTTTAGTGTAGTGGTACCTATTTTAAAACATTACAAGTACTTCAAATAGAAGCTGTGGTAAATATATCTAAATAAGATGTTTGAGAATTTAAAACTGTGGTGAATCTATATTTTGAGTTACTATTTTGGATGTTAAACATCAAAATATATAATAGTTATATGTTATACAGCTTGTAGAAATAAACTAAATCTAGGCAAATTTTGTATTAATACCGCAATTTAGATCAAAACATTTGTGAAATTTTCATATAGGAATATAAAAGAATAAATACCTTTTTATTTCCTTATGCTGGACTAGCCTGGAATGTGCAACTTCTTCAGAAGTTTTCAGGCTTATTCAAACTATGTTGATCTTTCAAGTCTTTCATTGGCAAAAAACAACACTTTAACTACAAAACTTTGACTTTTTTATCGGACCACCTAAATTTTAATCGCGATTATTCAAAATGAGAGTATACGGATTACTGCTAATATCACGCGGGGGAAATTCAACGTTTTTAAAAACAAAATACACCACTTTAAGTACAAAAGTTTATACTATTTTATCGGACTCCGTTTAAATTGTAATCAACAATATTCAAAATAAGAACATACTAATTGCTGATAATGTCACGTAGGGGGCGTTCGCCATTCTTAAAAACAAAATACCTATTGTTGTATGTTGTGCTACTAGATTTTTATTTTATAAATCACAGAACAGAAAACAGAAAATTCCTAATTACTTTGCGATGGACAGTGATTCCGATTATATAATTAAAAATTTACAGCAGATGTTAAGGTTGCCAAATCTCCGGTATTTAGACTAATTTCTCCGGCCTCTGACTGAGAGAACGGCTAAAAAGAAGAAAAAACAGAATCACCAAAGTTTTAAAATACAAACTAAATTATATTCGCAATTTACAAAAATGTTCTTGTAGTAGTATCGATATAACGTCTGCAATATTTTTTTATCCTGCGGTAATTGTTAACTCCTGAGATCTATTTACGTCATCTAGATATACCTACTTGTGCATTGTTTTATTTTGCTACCAAATAAAAACTAGATGCCGGTTTATCAAAAATAAGTTTGACTACGATTTAACTAGGTAGAGTTTAATTACTAAAGTATGCATTTGATTGGCTGTTGTTAAGGAATTTAGATAAATCAATTTTAAATTCTTTTCCTCCTAATTGCTTTTTGATTTATTATTTTTTTATTAGGTATACAGGAAAGAATATAAATATTGGTCAAAATAGGGTTAACAGATTATTATTGAATTTTACCACCACCATTATTAGATTAAACCAATCAAGAGAAATGATTTCTATTGGTTAACGCATTGTCGCTAACTGCGCTCACTGTTCTCGGAAGTTGAGGAAAGTTTGGGGACGTGTGTAGAAATTTCTGTTCAAGGATATCGAGTTGCAGTTGTTGACATGCAATATTTTAAATTTCCCGCCGTTAGTACAAGTATGGTGGTTTTCTACAAGAAATAAATACAAATGTTCCTAACAAATAAGTGATCTTAGTTCTGTCTGCAAAGCATGAGCTCTCTGTGAATGTGTTAGAATAATAAACTTTGTGTTTAATTATTATTGAGGTAACACAAAATAGTGAAATATTTGTTTTCTGTTACGTAATGTGCTTTTGACATTAATGTGTTGTGTTGTTACTACGAAATACTATGGCAAATTGTATGGATACCATGCTTTTTTGAACCCAACATGGTTACACTCCATATTGTTCGTTTGAACTTAAATTAACACTAATATTGTAAGTTGTGCTTTTAACATAACAGAAGTTAGGATTAATATGGATACACATGTATCTTCAACACCAAATAACCCACATTTAGGGGATGACACAATATCTGAAGCTGGAGCTTCATATGCACATGCTGTTTTGAATTTCAAAACAACCACCACAAATAATAATAAAGAGAATATCAAAGAACCAATAACGGAAAATCAGTCACAACCTGTGGTAGAAAAATTTAAACAATCTGAGCCTGAAGCATCTTCAGCTAATCTAGATGATGACGGAACCTTTACTCCAGTAGTAAATCACAGTAGGAAAGAACGAAAAAATGAAAAACTCAAAAAACAAAAAAGTTTAGTAAATGGTATAACAGACAAACATGATAGGCATGACAAACATGAGAAAAAAGACATCCACCTACCAAAAGATAAACAAAAAGAACCTCATTTAAAAGAAAAACGAGAAGAGAAAGATAATTCCCTTGTTAAGGAAGCTGCTGACGAACAAGTAGAGTTCAAAAAGGTATTTGTGGCAGCTCCTCTACCCAAAGTCAATCCTTGGCAAGTAAAACCTCAAACTGTCACCAAAGACACTTCAAACGAAAAGCGTGTACTGCAGCCCAAAAAGCAGGAAGTCACTACTAGTGGGCACAATGCTACGGCAGGTGTTGTTAAAGCTCCTAAGGATAAACATCGATATAACGAAAAGGTAAAAGATAGTATTTATAGTTTCACTCTAATCAGCCCCGTAATTTATTGACACTTTTTTAATTGAAAATGAGATGTAAATTAAAGCTTTCTATATAATCATTTATTTTCTTGTCGCTGGAAATGGTGTTTCTTTTTTTTGTACTAAAAAGTTTTGTGAATATTAATGATATAGCAGAACATTCATTAAACCATGTTTTTAACTCATTTTAGTAAATTTGATGCACCAATAATTGTTCCAAAGAAATATTGGTGTTTATCAGAAAAATATTGATTGTGTTATATTGAAAGTATGTGAATAAAATGTTTCAACCCATAACTGCATTTATAAACTTGTTACGTGACAAAGAACTCCCATTTACATTTTGTTTGCACATTCTTATTCAATCTAACTGGTAGCGAGTTAAGTCTATTAGTTATCTCTTTGGTGGCATAAACGACATATTTTATATATAATTATGCACTTAATTCAGTCATGATGTTTTTAAGTTAGACTAATCGGTTTTATAATAATTATTATGAATCATTTTAGAATTCAAATTGTTTTATCTACTTCAATGAATTAGCTTATATGTTCACTGCTTTTTCATTTTTATAAAACCTTTTGGTCTTTTTTTTTTTTTGTTGTTGCCAAACCAATATATCTTTAAATTAGTTTGTTTGATATAATTTCTATGTTAAAAGCCATTTATTAACTGATAAGAAATGAAGTTCTGTAAGATATAACATAATGCATGTGCCGTAAGCATGCCGATGTTAATTTAGTTATTGAAATGAAATACCTTAAAATATATTAGAAGTCAGGTTCAGTGAATTACAAATTTGTAAAATTCATTCAGCTTAAAATTGTTGTACATGATTGTAGCAGTTTTATATTTTTGTTAGGTTACCAGTTCTAACAATTCCAAACTTTTGATGTCAAATAAACACGTCTATTGTTTGGTGATTTGTTTAAGGCTAAAATTTGTGTTTTTGAGGAGTACGTATAAGTTTTTTCAAAATACCACAATGGAATTGTAAAAAGATTTTTGCAGACTTTCTATGTCAGGTGCTGACAGTATTCTAAATTCTTACTAAATGTTATCAACACCATAGCAAAGCTTGATAAGCAGTATAGTTAACTATATATAATCGATGTAGGAAAATGAATCTGATAAAGATAGACAGCCTGTTTTGAGTTACTTTCACTAAAACATTTTGGACAATCAAGGTTTGGAGAATAAATTAAGTCTTACTAATAAAAAAGCCATTAGATTCCTGAAAAAAAGTCCACAAATCAGTGTTACACGTATTTGATTAAAATATTTTATCATATCCAAAGAAAATTTACATAAAATGTTGTAACGTTTGATTAAATAAAGCATTGAATATTAAGCATTTGAAACGGAAAACAAGTTTTATAGTACCACTTATCTAATGGTCTACTTTTTATATGACTATGAAAATTAGGTAAAAAATATGGGTTACTGTGACATTTAACTAATGCCTTTAACAGACAGTTCATATAACATTAGTATTATTAAGTTATCAATTATTATTTCTTATCAATACAATTAAATAACTACTGAACTTATCAAAATCTAGAGGTTAACGTAACTACCAAAGTCGCCACTAAAAATAACAATTATTCTGGTTTTAAATCGCGAAATTTATTAATTGACATAAAAAATATCTTTCTGCATGAATATTTAGTTAGTAGAAGCCATAGTCACTAAATGAATGTATTAATTTTTTTAAAATAAAGTTGGTTGGACGTCGGTTAAACCGAAATAATACATACCATAAATTTTTTATGAGAAATAAATTCATTGTCATTTTTTAATGCTTCGTGTAATGCATTTTATCAAATAGTTTAATGTCCTTTATCAGTGCTACATAAACTTATGAACAACAACATTTTTCTGTTACATTTTTCATAAACTGATTGACCATTATTTGATTTAAAGGAAATAAATTTTTTATAAAATAGGTATAAGTATAAAATTATTATTTTGTATCATTTGATAAGCTGTAAGTGAAGTTATTGTGGTGGATTTGGAATTGTTCAAAATTGAAATCATCATTATCAGATCTATCTACTTTATAGATAGGTATGCGTGTGGTTATTTTATAAAACATTGCTTTTGCAAAACTTAAATGTTTGCCCGTGTTTAAATTTTTCATAGTTTGAAATATATATTCGTTTATAACACCTTTGTACCAGTAATTTTGGTACCGGTTATAATTCATTAATCGCGCGATTAAATTTGCGAACGTGCTGCATTTTCATCACAATCTAATCGCCGGATTAGTTAACCGAGCCTTAATACCAAAAATATTAGCCCTTAAGACTTGTTCATTTTATAAATTCTACAGAAATTTCGGTCATATTTAAAGTCCTATAACTTTAATTATGTCATAATTTGAAAACCCGTTTTTGCTTGGCACACATTTATGTTTTAAATGGTCATATTTTTTTCAGCAGAGAAAATTTGTTATTTGTTATTAAGTATAAACGAATCTTATTTTAATTGATTCTGTATTTTTTAAGTACAATAGTAGAAAAGGTAAAAGTTATTGCGGTTAATTATAGTCGAAGAACAATAAATTATGACGTTTTACACAACTTTAAAAGTTGGCTTGTTATATTGCATTTATTTGAAGAAGTATTTGTTTGTGAATATATGAATATCAGATGTTTTTCTCTGAAAATAAAACTGGTTAAGAATAAGGAAAAATATAGAAGTTTACTTACATTTCCCGCATATATATTACGAGAGCAAAAGTGGAAAATAAGTTGCAAGTTGTTTTGACGTCCATAGATAAGCATTGCCTGGCGGCGGCGGCGTTTTGCAAATTTGAAATTAGCAGTGCTGCCTACCTCGTAATTCAATCAAACTGCGCATCACCGGTTCCGTGTAGTCATTTTTTTTGAGTACGGGTGTACAGTATCCATAAACGTGGGTTATTTTAAAACTCAGATATCAAACGTTACGTCACCCGTCATATTGTTTTGTGTTCGTTGTATTCTTGTTTAAGGCATGTAACGCATATCCTACATATGGTAGTATCAAATATTAATCGTTTATCTTTTGGGATTTTGAAGACTTAATTCTTGAAATGGAATGTTTAGTAGTTGTGGTCGATTAATAATTTTTAAAATATGGTATGTACTGAATATGTTATTGCAAAACGTATGTTTACCAGTGGCTGGGTCGATCACTATTTTTATTTCATTTACACAGAGTGTGTCTTTTTCGAGAGGTTTTACTACCCTTAGTTGTTATTAAAAAATATTTTATATGATACCTCCCTAAATGATACGGGAACCCGTGTTCCATGTCTATAGTATGTAGGTATTTTTAAATAAAATTGATTTGTATTAAATTATTTTTAAGCAGTTTTTTTTTAATTAAAAAAATTACGTATACTATTTTAATAAGTATACTCTGTAAGTTATTAAAATACTTACTAAACTGAACTTTAAATGAAATAAATAATAACAGAACCGTTCATACCGATAATTTAAAAAGTATAAATGCGGACTTGATTTACTAATATTTTTATGCTTTATATACGTTTCTAGAAAATCAGGAATTAATTAAATATGGTTTCTTTCAATATGGAACTTTAATTAAATTATTTTCTGTAAGGTATAATTTAAAAGTGCTACGACAAAATGTCTGTAATAATAAGTGCAAGCAACTTGCCAGAGCCTGCCAAGAAATATGTAAATAACTTTGAAAGGGCGAAGCAACAACGTCATTTCCAGTCGACAAATATTTTTTATCAGCTCAATGAAATACGTTTATTGATTATATTGTTTAGTATATAATAAATTTAATAGAAGCTTCAGATAAAAGTCCTAGATAAGGGAAGTTTTAAGATGATTTGAAATTTGTTATTTTAACACCTAAAAAATCTACAATAATTTCATTTTTTCCAGGCTAGTGATTTTACAGATATTTGTGATTGGCCCACCTTAGGGAACAACACTGTTGAGGTTAGTGTTTTCATTTTCTATTTATAATAAGACAACTTTTTAGTTTCTTGGCAGCTACTCTTTCTGTTGTGATTTAAATCTCTCGCAGATTTTGTATCGTGATGTAGTTTTTATATAATCAACTATGTATCTATCCACCTATTTATATTTTAATCCATGTTATTTTAACACAGTTTCGCCTGATATCACACAAATAATTGTTTGGCGAGTTTTATAATGTGAACAAAAAAAAGCTTTACGCACTAACTACCATTACAATTAAAAGTCTGGGTTGCTGCCCATATCCACTGTTTGTAAAATTCGAAATTGTAAGCTCCCGTACGTCTTTACAATAATTAAGATATTCAAATAAAGAAATTCCCCCACAATTATTTCGTGCAGAAACAGAAAATAAAGGTTAACTCAGAGCCGGGCAAAAAGTAATTGAATACTGATTAGCGATTACTGAATACGCGGCTGAATATACATATTCGATAATCTCCGTAAATCTGAATAATGACTACAGTGTTTAGTGTATATGGATAGTTTATGAATACTGAATAGATTCATGTTGAATGAATACGATTGCTAAATATTCATTATTCATATTTACAAATACAGTGTATTCGCAATCGTTACTTTGTGAATACAAGAAAATTGTGGTTAGGTATGTGTAGATACGTATCTACGTATGTGTAAGTAGGTAATAGATATTCGGTAAATTATTCATAGAATCAGTTACTTACATATTGTATTCAGTGATTAATTTTTTTCTTTTCTTTCTTCTACTACACTTTCTATTAATGATTATTCATTATTCTTTAATACAAAATTTAGAACCCTGGGCTAAAGTAAAACGTCAGAGGGCGCTGGGCGGCCACTATATTTATTTACCAATTTAAGGTTAAAGTTTGGTTAACTAATGAAAGGAGTAAATATGGAATATGTTATATTCATAATCATCTGATTAGTTCAATAGGCCTTATGGCCTTCATTCATTAAAGGTAGGATGTTTAAAACTTGCGACAAAGCGGCGTGCGGCAGCGGTTACTATAAAAACGAAGAAGGTCCGACTATATTTGAGTATTTAATGCTTTTAAAGTAGTTAGAGTATGCATTTTTATAGAACGCTACTTAAGATAATTGGCGCTGCCGCATGCTGCTTTGTCGGAAGTTTCAAAATCCTTATGCCTAGTTGGTCAGTTGTCCGGCACGGCAAAGCGTATCTCTTCGCGTCAGTATAAAGACAATTGAATCAAGAGCACAAAATAAATGGATGGACCGCAAGGTACTACTCGAGGCAGCCTCTCAGTGGCCGAGAGTGTAGCAGATGTTTAGATAGAGGGAGAGAGAGAGGTAAAGGAGGACATATGCTATCTCTCTCTAACAGCACGCGATTGCATGTTGCCAGAGAGAGATATCATATACGTCTATACGTCTCTCTCTCTCTCTCTCTAAACCTCCGTTACACTCTCGGCCAGTGGACGCTGCCTCCAGTAGTACATGCTCTAAGATAATATTTTAATTATTAATATAATTATTAATAGGGCGTTTCCTTAAATGAAATTAAATAAAAAATGTTAATAATAAGATAACCTGCTCCTACCGTGTCGGTGTGGGAACACGCTACCGATCTAATGCATCTTTAAATTATTAAACCTCCATCAAGTAGCGTAGAGTCGCAAATCGCATAAAGTACATGCACCTTAAAAATACTCTAATGGACTGTTCACAGAATTAGCAACTCATTTTTGATGCATCAGCCAATGTCACTAAGAATTTATGTAACTCTATTAAATATATTAAAGTAAGCTTATCAGCTTCTCATTTTATTGCAAGTGAAAGGTGGACCTTAGCATATATCTGTATGATTAAAATAGCTTATGTAGGGGACTCTTTCAAAGAGGTACATTTACCATTGAAAAGAGCAACATATTTTGGTTTGTTAGTCATTAGAATGCCCTTTAAAGCGAGTCTTATTTTATTATTTGCCTTATCTCTAGTTTCATCTACTTTCGATATCCACATTTTTTTTCCAAAGTTCGTATATGGGAGGCATAGCAGAGACCTATAAAGAGTTAGCTCGCGGAGTAGTTTCCACGTTTATACGCAGTTTTAAAAAATTGAAAAATAATGGACTTAGAATGCAGTCATTTTTTTTTAACAAAACAGATTTAACTTATGTGGATGCCTATGTATACAAAATTGTTTACATATTTTTTTAGTAAAGTCAGCGGCAAACACAGTTTTTCCATACAAAAAAAAAAACAAAAACCATATAAGATTAATTAAATATGATAAAAGTTTACTAGTGCATGAGATTATTCCAAAACTTTAATTTGAGTACGTCTTAAATTCTTAGAAACTGTAGTGGAATAGCAGAATTTTCATAGTTCTGTAACAATTTTTTTGATTTGGGAATGATGGTATTTCCTCAGTTTCAATTCAAGTAAATGTTTTTTGCATTTTCCTTGAATTTTGAATCGAATAAAATAAATCCCTATCATCATCAATTGTTGAACTTTTATTAAATTTTTGTTGTTGATTTTAAAGCTGTGCAGTAATTCCTGAAAGTTCATTTACTACCAAAATAAAAGTTTAATGAAAATGATAACACAATCAAAAATTGTAAATCATTTATTTGACTACCACTTAGGGTCAACTAGGTACTTATAACAATTATTAAAAATTTCTGATACTTTTATATCAGGTACTCATTGATTAATAAAAAATAACAATTCTAGTTATATAATATCCAACAAAATCTAAAACATTGATTTATATTGAAATCTGTAGTTATTCCAGTTTAATTCTTTCAAAATATTATACCAATTCAGATTATAACGTACAACTTTGCTGCAGCCTCGTAGATCATTCAGCCCAGTAGCTCAAACTTCGAATGCCCCAAAAGACCGACAGCTGCCGCCGCCGCCGCCGCAGCAGCAGCAACAACAGCAAGTTGAGGAAGCGGAGGACAAGCGTAAGCCTTCTAAGCATAAATGGGTACCCTTAGAAATTGATCTGACTAAAAGCAACAAGCATGAACGGAGGAAACCTGAGAGGTCTGGTGATGTCCAGTCCACTGTAAGCGATGGAGATAGAGACTGGCGAGCAGAAAGGGAGCTCAGTGCCCCAACTCATAATGGTCGACATCAGAGGCCAGCTTCTGCTGCTCCGAGAGGCAGGGGTGGGCGAAGCCGGGGTGGAAGAAGGGGGCCATTTAACAGAGCAGCTAACAGGATACCTAGCGATCCAGATTATGCCGATTATCCTGCTGATTTCACACAGGTATTAGATATAATATTTATTTGGAGGACGAAATCATTTAGTAATGTGGCACGTTTCCATTTTTTATACTTTATTATGCACATACAACAGCAGAACGAAGGGTAGCTTCTTTAGATGGAAATGAACCAATTTAGATTAATCACACGTGAATAAATGAATATGTTTTCAGTATTAACAAGTTAATAATGATATTATAGTCAATTGATCTAGATTGTACTGAATACTCTACTACTTGAACCTACAGTACGTTTACACTACTATTTATAATATATGTATAAACATTCTAAAATAAGAATAGTTTTTCTATTTAAGAAATTGTTTAATTGTAAGTAATAAAAATATTATTTTACTTTGTTAGCTGGGGAAATTTGATGGCCAAAACTTTTTGGTACCATATATGGGTACTTACTACTTTAACAGCAACAGTTACCTCAATCTAGATGGGCCTACTCTAAAGGAATATATTCGTAACCAAATGTAAGTTTATTTTCTATAGATTAATACCAGTTTAAGGAAAACAAACACATCAGTTGTTTCTTAAATTTTTAGAGAATATTACTTCAGCGAGGACAATCTCAATAGAGACTTTTTCCTAAGACGAAAAATGGATCCTGAGGGTTATCTGCCTGTTACGCTTATTGCGTCTTTTCATCGTGTCCAGGCATTAACCAACAATGTCTCGTTAATTGTGGATGCAATCAGCTCCTCTGATAAACTCGAACTGATGTCTGGTTTTAAGGTAATATTTATTACTTACTGGATAAAAAATTTTCTAAAAAAATAAACTTTATAGGTTCGACCAAAACACGAACCTATGAAGTGGCCTATTTTGGATAAGAACGGGGAAAAGGAAGAAGAGCCTCTTTCGAAATTAGTACCGCCTCCTCCCATGCCAAAAACTCTCCGTGAAAAACAACAACACATTGAAAATCTCAATCCCGATGTTGCTGAATTTGTCCCTCATGAATCAGGTAACTGATTTATCTTATTTTTAAATACATTTTAATTCAAAATCCCTTTTTATCCAGATATTAAAAAAATGAATAACAATATTATTAATAATAATATGAATGAAAATTCAACTAATGAAAAAATGGGTTCAAATGGGAATTTGGAAGGGCAAGAATTCAATAGAGACAAAAACAAAACTGAGCAAACCGAGGAAGAAGCGAATTGGCGGCAAGTTAAGAGAAAAAATAAAGAAAACAAAGGTAAAAGGGAATTCAAAGTTAAGACTAATGAGCGAGAGGAGTTAGACTTTCATTTTGATGAGGAACTGGATTTGGAAGTGCCTACTGGTCGTCAGAACACATTCTCCAATGAATGGTAATGGTATTATAAACAAAAAAAAATTGTCTTCTTGGATTTCACTCTTTTAGGGCTTCGGAAGATGATTCAGATGAACTGAGCGACCGAGACGTCAATAAACTTTTGATCGTAACTCAAACTACTTCCTCTAGAGCCCCCAAGCATGAGGGTTATGATCGGACTGGAGATTGGACAACTCGTGTCAAAATTACTCAAGAATTAGAGCAAGCTATTAATGACGGACTGTATTATTATGAAGAGGACTTATGGACTGTGCAGGACTTCGTAAGTCGCTTGACCTTTTACTACTTTTTGAATTTATGTTATGGTTCTTTTTTTATATAGTCTTTTACAGGGTATCGGTGGTATAAGTGCTGTGTTTAATAAGTAATTGAATACCTCAAAATAAATATGAAAATCTTATTAAAAAAAAATTTTTTTGGTAGTCTCACTCACTATTTCTGGTGCTTTTTATTTTGCTTAGGAACGTAGCGCAGGTGGAAGTTATAAGACTGTAACCGTGATTAGTCAGGAAGACTTCAAAAAAATGGCCCCTCCCGCCCCCAAGAAACAGAACCCCGAGGTACCTCCCCCGCCACCTCCTATCGTAAGTTATTTTGACGAAATTTTCACTTCAATTAAAACCTTTTACATTGTAGCTGGATTCTCATCATTCACCTTTGGAAAACAACAGGAGGGGCGGTCCTTTGACGCCGAGCCATCGCAATGTACCTCGATTTTATGCTGTGGTTAAAGACGGACAACCTGATCCATGCACGCCAAGAAAGCGTAAAACGAGACACTCCAACAACCCGCCAGTGGAGCAACACGTTGGATGGATCATGGACGTTAAGGAACATCGTATACGCACAACATCCACTGGGTACGTTGATAAACTTTATTTAGGGGCGTAAATAGCATTTCTCTTTGCAGTAGCAGCCTAGGCACTAGCCCCAATGATGCCCATTTGGGCACGAGCTATGGCAGTTACGGAAGTGTACCACAAACGCTTCCTTCTTTCCAGCACCCCTCGCATGCTTTACTTAAAGAGAATAACTTCACGCAGCAAGCATACCATAAGTTCAGGCAGAAGTGTTTGAAGGGTAAGTAGCAAATATTACTGTTATGATTATGAAAAATAGGAGAATTTTGTAGATGTTTTTATAAAAAAATGGTCAATTAGTTTGAACGGAATTTAAACTATTCTCTATTAGGAACAAAATATGGCGTCTCTGTCATACACAAATTTTTTAAACAAATTCCACAAATGGAAGTCTAAAAGGGTTTAAGTCTGGAGAACGAGAAGCTATCTATAGTTTGGTACCACCACCGGTGCTCATTATATTAAAAATTCCGTTGGCGGTAAATAGTCTCTGTGAATAAAATCGTAATATTGCGTCTTGGTGTTGATCATTTTTTAATAATCACTGTCCACTAGCACATACAGGATAATCTTGTCATACCAGAACAGATTATTGTAATTATGTGCATTATAATAAAACGCAATCACCAATGACTCTAACCATTAATTACTATAATTTTACCCGCTGACTAAAACTGGAACACGAGACTTTTTAATGCGCACTTGGTAACAGTTAAGAAATTTTAATATGAATAGTATATGTAAAAAACGGAAGAGCCAGCAGAATTGAAAAAAACGTTATATATAATTATTTTAACAGAGCGTAAGCGATTTGGAATTGGTCAGTCGAATGAGATGAACACACTATTCCGTTTCTGGTCGTTCTTTTTGCGGGAGAACTTCAACCGTACGATGTACAACGAGTTTAAGGCTTTGGCATTGGAAGACGCTGAACAGGGTTATCGTTACGGATTGGAATGCCTTTTCCGTTTCTACTCGTATGGATTGGAAGTAAAATTCCGCCCCCATTTATACGAAGACTTTCAACAGGAGACAGTTAAAGACTATGAAAATGGACAGCTCTATGGGTTAGAAAAATTCTGGGCGTTTTTGAAATACTACAAGCATGGCACTCATTTGAACGTCAACCCCGTTTTGAAGAAGTACCTTTCTAAGTTTAAAACAATCGAAGACTTCCGTGTTGTTGAAGTATGTATTTTATGATTTTTTTTTTTTTTACTTTTAAGGATAAATAATAATTTTTCTAGCCAAAAATTGATGAGATACTTAAAACACAGAATGGAAGAGGGAATCATTATAGACAGAATGCAAGACGTAACAGAAGTGTCTCTGAAAGTCAAAGCGCCGGTCCTAGTACATCCCGTGAAGATCAGAGGCGCTCCTCTGCTTCTCACCAACGGTAACACTTTGTGTAACTATTTTATAAACTGTTTTTAATATATATTTTTTTAGAGGTGAACATTCGCAAAATTTTCCACAGCCGGGTACCAGCGCCCCAGCTGGTACAGGATTTAAGTATCCAAGATCACGCACTCATTCGTTCGGTTCAGGTCGTGTTCGCAACAACTCGTCTCGTACCCACACTGATTCCTGGAGACAGAAGGACAAAAAGGAGGCATCTTCTGCTGGTGGGTAATTTTCACATATTATTAAGACTACTTAAATGATATTTATATAGAAAAATACAGTTCGCATTTTTCACCTTTGGTACGTTTGGTTGGGGTCGAAATTTATCAGTTTCATTGTGAAATTTATTAAAAGTGAGGTTAATTGTAGAGCCCAAGTTGTATAGTCTTTCCGATATCAGTTGAAGAACCAAGAGGATGACAGTATGTGCCAGGTTCGGTCGCTGACGTAGCAACTCGGCATTGAAATATTTGAAAAACTTGTTCCCATATTTATTTAGCCACACCCATATACAGGTCTGGTCGAACTAAACGTGGAGGTGGTAGAAATGTATATGTCTAGTTGAAGAATGCGAGCGCAGACAAACGAAATACAAATACAGTTGCATTGGATTACTGGGCAATAAATCTCGGCCGTTGACAAGTGGTCGACAAATTGCCTAGCAGTGCAGTGCAGCAATGCGGAATTTGGTGTGATTTAAGTAATTTTAATTTATTATAGGCACCTTCTATTAATCATTCATATTACAATTGAGAAAGGGCATTTTGGAGACCTTTTGAAACAGAACAAAACGAAATTTACCATCAATATAATAAAATTGTTTGAGGATATAATTAATTAAAATATGTTGTTGGCCAAATGAACATATAATAGAAATTTTCTACACATTATATACAAATTATTATAATTTTTTACCATTAGCAGAAAACTTTTTAGGGATGCCTATGAAACTCATTAAATTTTATTGCCAGGCGTTTTTTTACATGTTGAACTGACTTCGGAAAGACTATAATAGAGTTAGTAACTGCACATTCCTTACGAATTTAAATTGTTTGTTTAGGTGAAGGTCGCAAGGGCAGCGCCGATTGAAGGGAGGACTTTACTGCATGTGTTCTGTTGTCAACTGTTGAAACTAAATTTTGTACTGGATTAATTCTTATATTTGTATATCTTAAATTGTTTGATTTCCATAAGGTAAAAAAGTAATCTAGCTAAAGGAACATTCTAAGAGAATGCGGTGATTTTTTTTTGTATAGGATCATAAAAAAATTGTATAAAGGTGTAAGTAGTAATTGCGATTGTTATATTCGGTGCCATTGCCTTAAATATTTTACATAGTTTTCATATTTTTCTAGATAACGTATGAATAGTAAACTACACAGCAATATTTCCTGAAAGTCAGTGACAAACCGTATCGGTTTCTGTTGATAAGTGTATATGTTCTTTTATCATAACTTACGTTAATAAATCAATTTTATTCTTGTGTTCATTTTGAAACAAAAAAGCTTATAAATAATTATTGTAAATAGGGGCTCACTATCGTAATACTCGCATAACTCATAAATTGGCTGTCTCTGTCTTGCTTTGGCATCATTTTAGTCAAGTTAAGTGTGTTTATTATAATTGTTATTTTTTTAAGTAATTCATAACATGATTATTCGAGTAGTGCTTAGTGGGCGGTACATTTTCGTTTTCTATGTATCTATATTTTTTATATGTCCTTATCAGCGTGATGAAGGATATACACCATACATGATTATATATTTTAGGATAACAGTTTTTGGGTACACGCTTGTCATATGCAATTATTTGATAATTGTTATGTTATTCGTACTTTATATTACATAATTTTGATAATTAAACTCATTTTGATTTGTTTGAAAGTAAAATTATATAGGACAAGGCAAGGAGTTTAATTTATAATATTTCTGAGTTGAATTCTTTTAATATAAGTGTGTGCTAGCGTAATCTTAATTTATAAAAAAAAAATTAAAATTCGGTTTTTTGTCTAATGACGAAGAAATTCTGTGCAATTGTAATCGTTCATATTTACATCGTTAGACAAAAAATTCAGAAAATATGTGATATGGGTAATAAGTTTTCTATAGTTTTTGCTCAACTCCTTGCATTTAAGAATGTATTGTATATTGTAAGTTAGTTTGTAAAGTGTGTTGTGGAAGTGTGGTCTGCGATTTGTCTTCCAATGACGCTAAAAAAAAAAAAAAAATAAAAACGCTAAAACGTCACTTGTTTTTTTGCATCGAATCCTAATACGTATCCCTAACATCTTTTTTTTTTTCATGGTACTATAAAACCATACTAAACATTATTGTTTTTATATTTGAAATAATACACTTTTTCATAATTTTGAAAACTTAAAATTTTAAGTTTGTGTGAAAAAAATTATTCTGCTTTATAAGTCAGTGACATTTGAGGTAGAGGATATTTAAGTGATGCTAATTAAGGCTACAGTCAAATTTTTAATAAAAAACTCCTATAATCATGGCAGGCCATTGACTCGACTCATTCGTCATAGTTAATGCAGCTAGTACATAATCTAGAAGGCCTCAATATATAAAAAAAAATGCATTTGAACCATGTATTTTAAAGAGAAGTTCTGGTTCGTACTGGACGACACTGTTCGTAAATGTAAATTATGGAAGTATGTTAAAAAAAATGTACACGTTTAAATCTTGCACTATTTTAACTCCATGTAGATAAATATTTTATATTTCATTGTATGCGCCTACAATATTTTCATGGACTGTGTGTTGTGGACCAGAATGTGCAGATGTCATTCAAAAATATTTTCTGAATTTGTGGATTTTTTTGATATCATGGACTATTAACTGCTGAAAGTTAGCTAAGGTTATCAACATTGAAAAAAAAGAAAAACAAAAAGTAATTTTATAAGAACTTTAAAAAACAAAAAATTGTGAACATTTACGTGAAAAGGGCATTGACAATTTGTACTCTAGATCAGTGGCTCTTAACCTGTTGTCCGCGGACCCTTGAGGATCCACCATCTCCTCTCAACGGGCCCGCGAAAAAATCCACATGCCTTATGTCAGAGTGTAACTCAGTGGCGGCGTAAAGGGAGGGCGGTCCACTGCGGGTGACAACTCACTCGCGCTGCTTAGTTAGTAGACAGTTGCGAGAAACTTTTATCAACACTCTTAAGAGATGTGTGATCCCAGCAGCTTTGTGTGACTTCAGTTTTTTATACTATTTTTCTTTTCGGTGTGAAGTCTTAGAAGAAGTTAACCAGACACAAAAGTATATACAAACATCTGGAAAAGTGCGAGATAAAAATCAAAGCTAACGTATCCAAATAGTGGAAAGAGCTATTTCCTATGCTACTGAAAAATGTGAGAATTTGGATATTTTGATTGAAAGAAGAGGAAGGAGGAGATTCAAAAAACGTATATCAGAAGAAATGACCCAAAACGCTGGACTAACATTGCCAGAAGAGCTGCAGAGAGCTATGGTAGAATGTTTTGATAGATTTTACGATGAACTAGACCATCGTTATACGGCAACGGATGACATTTTTATAACATTTGGTATAGTTTCAAATCTGACAAAAATCTAGATGAATTTTCTGCAGAGGACTTAATTTTGTAGATGTTACAACTGAGGCGCCACTTGGAAGCCGCTAGTATTTCTTCTCAAGAAGCGGTCCAGTGGACTACCTTGGAGCTTCTGGGCTCATTGTAAAATGAGGCTATTCTGAGTCTGTTCCGAGTCTAGCGCTGTGTAGATTTTTTTAACTATTTGTGTTTCAGTAGCTTCGTGTGAATGAAAATTTTTAAAGAGCCAAGCATGACTAAGCAATCTTTCCATTTTGTCTATTGAAATGGACAGGAAAGTAAATTTTGATAATGTGATCGAATAAATAAAGTCATGTAAGCACGTTTAGTATTTGTTGTTTTATTTTGAGAATGCTCAATAAAACTGCTCCGGGTGTCAACCCATGCTACGCCGCCACTGGTGTAACTTATTGTATATCTTTCCAAAATTTACGATTTAGAATTAATATTTCAAACCCATTTAATTGGGACTTATATCTAAGCAAGTAACTGGGGGTCTGCTACAACAAGAAAATATTGAAAGGAGGTGTATGGTAAATAAAAGGTTAAGAACCGCTGGTCTAGATCTTTGAATTGTTGGTGAGACTGCAGGTACCAGCAAGACAACCCTAGGTCAGCTATATTTATAATGAGGAAGTACACACTTTCCTCGAGTGTGATGTCGGCGTTCGACCATCCCCATAATGATAATTTTTTCTCTTATTCCTGCACTGAATGTTTGATAAGTAAAAGCAATGTACAGTTTGCCAAATGTAATGTGACAGATGAACATTTTAAAGGACCAAAGGGGATGGAAGATATAGGGAGAACAAAAACTGTAAAGCTTTGTTTCGAATGCATCAGAGGTTCATTAAATAGAATTTTACTAATACTTTCAAATAGCCCCAGTACGTCATTACTATTAAAAGATAATCATTTTATCCTTTACCAAACTTCAGTTTGATATAATTTGTCTTACTGGTATATACAGGGTGATTCATAAGTAATATGGTACAAAAATTAACTGTAAGTAGTAGGAATATCAAAATATTAGGATTTTATGACAATAAAATGTTGATATGTAAACAGATGCAGTGTCTCTGCTGCGCTGCTTTGTAATTTAATGGATCATGATGCATCATCTTCAGTTTTTATGGCTTTAGATAAGGTATATGTTCTTCCTTTATTTCTATTTCCTCTTCTGGACATTATATTTTATTGGATTATGTTCATATATGTATTTCCATTCACCCACCCACCTTTTCCATATTTTCCTACAGTAGGTATGTTTGGTGTTAAAATAGTTGCGACATTTTTATCTAGAAAGTGTATAATAGATGTCAAGAAAAAACTTGCTTGAAAATGCGAATTTGAATGCAATGTATTTTTTTATTTAAATGTTGGAAAACCCGTTTGCAGTACCTTTTTTCTTAAAATTAAATTATTTATCGCCTGATGGTTTCATTCTGCAGGTTAAAACTGAGACACCCTGTATAATATTATTTCAAAGTTTGTTGTAAATTATGGATAATCTCTTAATGTTTTTTATCACATACCAGCAGTATTATACGTACCAGGTATTCTGCTGCTCTTATCGTTAGGAATATTAAACATAAATTCATAATATATAGTGCATGCACAGGTGCGGATATGTACAGGTGGTGATCAATATATCTTGAGAAATGCGTTTTCCTTGTAAATAACTGAACATGAAAAAATTTTAGTTATATATTCACACTGCATGATGGCGCGCTCTGGCTTTGTTTTTTGTTACCTCTGTTTTGGTACTGGTGGAATACATTTTTACTATTAAGGTTTTTTCTATTTAGCGGCGTTTTCGATATTTTTAATTGCTTTTGAGATTAACAATCTATTTATTTACCTAATCTGTGATTAACAATTGCAAATCAAATCGTTTTTCTTTAAATTTTTGGTCTTGATATCAAAAAGTGTGCATTATATCAGAACTTTTTTCAACAATTTTGGAGAACGTTCAAATTTGGGTTACACTCTATTATAACCACTCAATAAAATATTTGTTAAAATTTGTAAATCAATTTCTTCGCAATTTAAAAGTATTTTTGTGTCCCATTTCCCATTTCTTCTGGACGTTACTTAATTAACTTCAATTTTTGAAATATAATGCCCTGTATATTACAACAATGCCTGATTTATTATAGTTTTTCATATATTTGGTTGCTATTTCCGTATTCATTAATAATGGCACTTTCAAAAGTAAAATGGACTAAAAATGAGTTTATCATAAAAATTATCTACACATTTTAGAAAAATACTTTCATTAATCTGGCTTAATAAAATCGAAAGGAAATTAAATTTTACATATATCTGTTATTATTTTAATATACATATTGTATTCCATTTAAGAAACATAAAATATCCGTAATTAAAAACTTAAACTTCTGAGACTGTAATTACAAAGAGGAATTAAAGAATACTATAATATACAGTGTTCCGTTTGAAATTAAAAAAATATATATTTTATTTGAAATATATATTTTTTGTGTTATACCAGAACTACGTAAGAATCCGTTTCACCTAGAACACCCTTATTTACTATAATAATAAGAAAGAGATCTGAGGAATTGCAGGATGTACAGTGCATGGAACGGTTCCATCGTAAAACATATGAATAAGATAACTTGTATAAAAAAAAGAATAATAAAAATAAACAACCGATATAAAATAAAATTATCATTATTATCATAAAAATAATTGAGGTAACTACCTACTTAATGCAAACTAATCAGTATTAATCACTACTGACTATTTTTAGTTCATTCTCATGAATTTACGATTTAGCATTAGATACGGAATTAAAAATATGGTTTGATTAGATACCTTGAATTATTTATTCTACCATTCAGAAAAAAAGAAGCAACTGTTCTTGATGTACAGTACCGGCTTTACGCCTTTTTGAATTTCGGACGCTTGGTTCCACGTTGCCTTCAACACATCTTTTTTGTAGTAGGTACCTAGGCACAACATGTAGACACAGTGCATTTTTATTCATTCACTATCGTCAAAAATAAGCTCCTTCGCCACATTATTGAGTATTTTAACTCCAGCTGAATATTCCAAGCAACTGTCATCCTCAAAATTTCTCCGGGGCATCTTAGATTCCGCAATTAAATCAATAGCTACATGAAATATGAAGTCCAGACTGCATGAAAGTTGACAATATAATGCAATGAGTCGCACTCAAAATTTATTGTATTGCTTAAATGGTTTGTGGCGCATGTCTTTGCCCAGTTGACCACTTATTTTCAACAAAATTTCGTCTCTAAAAATTACAAGACGAAACTATTTCTAAGGACGTATAATAAAAAATGAAATTATATCTCGACATGGGTTACGCATAGTTCCAAATATTTTTTTCCCTAATCAAATCATGAACTATTTTTAAATTTTTCTCAAAAGTTTTCATAAAGTTATAGCATTATGATGAAAAACAGAATGTTAATATCAAATTAAAATTTAATAGGCATAACTGCAAAGTACATTTAGTTTTGTGAAAAATTAAAAAATATATATTTTGCATATAGATGCGCAACACGTTCAGAGATCTCAGGGTCGACAACATTTTAATATTTTATTTCGCAAATTCCATTAGACATTTTATTAAAATACGACCACTTTAATTTTCACTAGCCGCCACTGTATTGCGTTGTTTGGAACCTCCCATTTCCTTTGAAAAGTGCTGTCGTGTTATCTGCAATTAAAAATCTGTAGTGATAAGATATTTTGTACCACGTATCTCCTCATAGATTTGTTAAAAAAAAACTGGAGTGTTTAATTCTACAGCGTAACCACGATTTTAAGAAATTTGTCTAATCTGTAATACCCTTTGATACTGATAAAACTGTTTACATACAATAGGCACTTTATTTCATTTATAAAATTCTACAACTTTAAGTGGGTATTTCTCTTGTTTTCATTACTAAAATATATTTTTGTCAATGATGTCACAACCCAATTTAGAGGCACCGATATCGGGAATCTCATTTCAACCCAAAATTCAAATACAATACAAAAAGGAACAATTAATTTATTGAAATATTTTAGCACCGAATGAGGTGGATAAACACGAGGTCACACAGTCAGCAAATTGAAAGGTAAAACGGGTTTTGTACTACTATTTTAATGTCAGTTGGAGACCTTAACAATTTCTAATTTCAACTTTCACTTTCTTCATTTTTTAAATCAATACTGAATACAACGCAATACGGAACTGAGCGACTATGTACAAGTAATTTATACGACAAATCTTAAGAAATTAGTAGTAAAAATGGTAATGATATAATTTGTATGTAAAAATTTCCAGTTTTTACGTGAAAATATTTGCACTCTGTACTGCTATGAATAGGTTTGTAGGTAGTCACAAAAATCTTATAACTCAAATAAAAGTTAATTTACACTTCTTCTTTTACCTTTATTTTCAGTTTTATCAGTTTGACAAAAATTATTGAAAATCGTTAAGTTATACATTTATGTTATATATAAGGTGTGACAAACTTTTAGATCTGATTAATCTCGTCAAAATAAACAAAGAAAAAGGTAACATATTGTGTATAATTCTTCAAAAATTTGAAATTAAAACCAGTTTTTGACCAATTGCTGAACCACTGAAAATATAGACCTAATTGCTTCAAATTTGGTAAACTATAGTTCCCTTATAGTCAGAGCCGGCTTAAGGGAGGAGTGGGGGGGTACGGGGGTGTAGCCCCGGGCCTCACGAGATCGGGAGGCCTCGGCAAGATCTAGCAAAATGAATTTTAGCTTTTTTTTAAATTTTGGTCAAAACTTTTGCGCCTCTTGTTTTTTGATTTGGTAGAATCCATCGTTCACATTTAAGGTTCTAACCGCCATAAAGGTTAGGAGCATTGTTAACATCGAATCTTATAAAGTGAAAATTAAAAGTATTTCATAATCGAAAAAGTGGTCAGATGGACTTACGTTTAATTGCTTAAAAATCGAATCAAAATAGTTGATTTTTATTTATGATCCACGATTTTTTATTTTTATTAAAAAAAGCCCAAGACTCAAACAAATTTTGACGGGAACTGAAAAATATATAATTCCCTTTAATTTCAAATAACTTTGACAGTTGGAACCCTTCAGACGCCTCCTAATTGCCACGCCACTGGTTATTTTTTTATTAAAATTTTACATGAAGGTAGTTACTGTGAGGAAACTGCACTATATCAAATTTGGCTATTTGTCTATATTTGAAAATGATTGTCTTTCACTTTCGCAGTCTTTGAAGGTCATGGATCCCTTAGGAACTGTTGCGAAAAATGTATCTATTTGTTTTGACGAGAGCAATCAACCCTGAAAATTTGTCTCAACGTTTCCTAAAGTTCATATAAATTTTCATTTGTTTCATAATAGGCAAGAAAGAAACAAATATTTTAAATTTTTCTATGCCCATTACAACAAATTGCGACAACCAAAAGCAATATTCCAATCAAATTTCATCACAGTTATGTAAAATAGTTTCACTTTTTAAATCTTCTTAATTAAGACAAAATTGTACGGAGTTGCAATAATTAGTCCGAAATTAACTCCATGGCAAACGCTAAGTAACAGTTGAAGGTACGTAAGTGCAATAAAGTTGTAAGGCGCCGTTAGATGTCAACAAAGTGTTACTGTATTTTGAAAGTAGGCGTTATTCTTGTTCTGATTCAGCCTTGCATGTGTAAACATTAACCTTGATAACTTTTTCTTCCGGCATAACTGAAGTTTTCCTAGCACGAATAACAATTCTTCATATTTATTGGAGCGTTTAAAATACACTTATTTATGAAAGAGTGCTTTAACGTTAATGTATCCTCTTCAGCAAATATTTTTTAATCGTTGTGACTACAGTTAAACGCCTCCCGACTGTCCACATTTGCTGAAGAATTGAATTTTTGCTGTTTGGGTTAAGTGTTGTTCAGCCGAGTCGCCCGCCACTGGCAGTGGAGTATGGCTTGACATTCTCGAGATTAGAGTGGTGCACTCAGGTGGTACCGCGAGCGTGGCATATACACAAGGTAACTACCGCGTATCATGTCATTCGGCGCGCTTGCCACAGAACGAATGTCTTTAAAAAGTGAATGAGGGTGTGCATTTCTTAGTTAGTTTCTGGACAAGATGCCGACTTTTGCGGAAATTAAAAAAATCCTCTCGGACTGCCAACAATCTCATTTGTTAAGATTCTGGGATGAATTGAACGAAAAAGAACAGTCACAATTTTTGGAGCAACTGGGTACCATCAATTTCAAAGAAGCGAGTGATATCTTTACAAAAGCACAAAATTCTTTATCCGAAGATGTCCAGAAGCTGGATAGCCGAATGAAACCTATTCCTCCAGAACAATTCGAATCGGAAAAAAGCGTGAACGAGAAAATCCTGGGAGAATATAAAAGTACTGGCTTGGAAGCTATAGCTAATAATGAAGTAGCTGTTTTATTATTGGCTGGTGGTCAAGGTACAAGACTTGGGGTAAATTACCCTAAAGGTATGTTCTCAGTCGGATTACCATCAGGAAAACCTTTGTTCCAAATTCAAGCTGAGCGCATCCGAAGAGTGATGAGTTTAGCGAAACAGCAAACTGGTAAAACTGGGAAAATTTGCTGGTACATCATGACAAGTGGCCCAACAAATTTCACTACCAAAGATTTTTTAAGGAAAAATGATTACTTTGGATTAAATAAAGACGACGTGAAGTTGTTTCAACAAGGTCTCCTTCCCTGTTATGATTTTGACGGGAAGATATTCTTGGATGAAAAACACATAGTGGCGCTTGCTCCAGATGGCAACGGAGGGATATATCGTTCTTTACACCAAAATGGTATCTTAGAGGACATGAAGAAAAGAGGAATCAAGTACGTTCACGTACACAGTGTTGATAATATTTTAATAAAAGTAGCCGATCCAGTGTTCATAGGATACTGCGTTAAGAAAGAGGCAGACTGTGGTGCTAAAGTTGTCAGTAAAGCTGAGCCTACTGAAGCAGTTGGAGTTGTTTGTCAAGTCGATGGTAAGTTCCAAGTTGTGGAATACAGTGAAATAACCGAAGCCACGGCAAATCTAAGAGACAGTGACGGAAATTTACTCTTCAATGCTGGTAACATTTGCAACCACTTTTTCACCACAGACTTTTTAAATAAAGTGGCTGCAAATTTTGAACGTGAATTGAAGCTCCATGTCGCAAAGAAGAAAATTCCGCACGTGAACGAAAACGGAGAGAAAATTAAACCCAGTAGTCCTAACGGTATAAAAGTGGAAAAGTTTGTCTTCGACGTGTTTCAATTTGCTAAGAAATTCGTTACTTGGGAGGTACCTCGTAATAGTGAATTTAGTGCTTTGAAAAATGCAGACAGTGTTGGAAAAGATTGTTCCCTTACTTCCCGTCGCGATCTTTTCAATTTACATAAAAGTTACATAGAAAAGGCGGGGGGTAAAGTTACATGTGACGGAGTAGAGATTTCTCCTTTGTTGTCGTATGCGGGGGAGAGTCTGGAGGTCCGTGTTAAGGACAAAGTCTTTGATACCACAACAGTGATTCTATCCGACGAGGAAATTTTAAAAAATGGAAATGTCATTTGTGATGGCGACTGCCGCTGATGTTTTAATCTGCGATATTTAAATATTAGGTCGGTCAAAAGTAATTAAAACGTCATGGATTTAAGTCACATTTAAAACATATGTACATTTAAATATTATGTGATGAAGTAATTTGTCATTAGCTTTTGAGTAAATTAATTTTTATATTTACGAGGTTTTGACGCTAACTTTTGACCTTCCTCGTATACAAACATAATCCTAAAAGACAATTCTTGTAGCAAATATAGATCATACTTATCAACTCATAAATTGAAAAAAAAGTAAAACTTATTTTTTGTAAAAAACAAAGCGATAAGCATACGAAAAAACAAAGAATGCTATTTATTTTGCAAACCGCTTCTCTTGAAGTATTTCTTAAAGTATAATACAATTTCTTTTTCGATTTCATTATAGGCTTATTGGCTTCAAAAATATTTTTATTCTTTACTTAGTTTTTGAAATGCCTCAATATTTTGAATAAAACATGCAATGTTTTCTAAAATATATTAACATACGTTTTTTTTTTCATAATAATGAATATGAAAAAAATTCTAAATATGCACTATAATTTATATTTTGAGTTTTATGTTAATTGCTGATATACCTTTTTATTTTTTACCATTTTTTTTTGTACTGATTTATTTGTAATTTAGTTCCTATTGGTGGCAGGTTATTTGAAATAAATATATAAATAAATAAGTTTTTAATTCTGAAATTTTATTTACATTCTGTTGTATTCAGTTGGAATTTTAATGGGCCAAGAAAGTTCAAGGCACTCAATAGACACCTTTTGCATAACGTTCCCTTCACTAAAATATCGAACGAAACCGCATTACTACATCTATTATATATTTTTTTGAATAAGCGGTGATTGGTGAACGATCAAATTTAAACTTTTACATTAAAAGTAATTATTAAATATATGCTTTATTCAATGCTTAAGATGTAATAAAAAAAACAAAAAAGTTTATTTTATATTTCTCTACAATAAAAATGTGTAATGTGATATTAATGTTTTGGGTCGTTATATAATATAGGTACCACATGAGTATCAACTTATGTCTGTATAGAAATTCCTTGCAGATAAATGAAAGTAAGTTTTTGAGCGGATTATATAATTTTTATTCAACAGCTGTGACCATGAACCTGATTATAAAGTTGGCGTTCGAAAAGTAGGCTAATTGCATGTATTATTTTTTGTTAAAAAAAAGATACATAAAAATATGAAAAAAAATTAAGTGCGTTTGGGACTAATAAACATGCAAATTTTAAGAAATTGGTTTTGACTATTTATTCATTGCACTCGGTCATCTCCTTTAAAATGAGATCATTTGTTGGAGCATTTTCACAACGTCGCATATACCTAAGTATGAAAGATTATGTCAATTATTGAACAATGGCTATTGTATATGACAATATTTTATTTAGATGCATATCTAATAATAATTTACTTAACTGGGATATTCATTGTTATGGTAAAAAAATGTATTTTATCACGATTATCAAACACTCCATGTAAGTGTAGGTATAACAGAAAGAAAAATATGTTTAAATATAAATATTATGTTCTCTATTATATTGATGTTTATTTATTACTTATAAAACAATTACCGAACTAATAAAATTTTTCTTGATTTTCAAAAAAATTATAGGTGGTACTTAGATTTTCACCCGGTAGCAATTTTATAAAAAAATAGGTATAAAATATGAAAAACTAAATTGACATTTTGTTGTCCATTGGCTGAAAATATTAGATTTTATGAAACATGTTATACGTTTCTTATTTCAAATCTGTTATTTGATTACTGTAACGTTCTTATAATTTTAAATGTAATATTATTTGTACAAAAAGCTGATAGAGAGAGCCATCTATACAGTAAAAGCGAAATTAACAAATTCAAAGAGAAGGTAACTACTACGTTCAATTCAATGGTTTTACTAAATTAAACGGTTTCGTTTTTATCGATTTCCCTAAATTTTGCTTTTACATAACAGATGTCCTGTTCTGAAAAGAGCATTTATTTTACTCAAAATTTATAAAAAAAGTGATAATTAAAGTTTATTCGATGTTATTATTTCGATTTAGGCAAGATAAAATACAATATAAAATTAGCAAATGTAAATTTTTACTTTTCTGTAAGTTGAATAATAGATCTATGTACGTATATATATTTTTTCAATTTTATTGTTAGCGTACTTAAATTTTTATAGCTAATTTAAATTTAATGAACAAATAATCAATGATCTGAAGAAATATTTTGTATATTAGCTTAAAATTTATCAACACATACTAAAAAAAAACTTAAATCTCAACTTATTTGTAAAAAGTAAAAAAGCATTTATAGATAATAATAATATTTGATGTCTTTAAATTAATTATTGTATTGTACATAGTAGTAGGTATACATATTGCGTAGTTCTACATAGTAGTGTATTAGTGCAAATCAAATAAAAATTTAAATAGTTATAATTATGAAAAACATTTAATTTCATGAAATACAAAAAAAGATCTGATTTATTTGTCATTTGATTTTGAAAAATATTTTGCAACCCTTTTTGAGGTCTCTGAGCCAGCTAGGCGTATTTAAATGTGTAATTAGTAAATTTCACCCTAAATATTTTTATTACAAAAGTTTTTGTGGGCCTAGAAATAATCTCCTTTTGTATCAAAACACAACTTTAATTTTCACCAGCAGCTGGTACAGGGTGTTACATTTACAAAAAAGTGGAGGTAGGTTTATACTGATAGCTTTGCTATGTTGATTTCTTTGTTTTAATACAAAATTGTGGTGCTTAAGGATAATGTATACAACTTTTGTAGTTAATATATATATATATTTTCAAGCAATATTGATAAGGTGCGATGTGACGAAAGTACACTGTATACTCTGTATCGGATGTAGTTGCCAAGGATTTTTTGCCTCTATTTATCTCGTCTTTTTAATATTTGAATGAGGAAGAGTAATATAATTGAGTGGATTGTGTATTTACGATGGCGTTAATATATACCTACCTTCTTAAAGGAAGTATGTACCTGAATTGAAAATAATATAGCTAATAAAAATATTTACAATTTCAGTTCTAGTAATATGTTGTTAAGTATCTATGTACAATAAGTTTTTGTATTTTGTGTTAGCATTATTTGTATTTTCAATAAATAATTTGTTATTGAAATGTTTCCCTTTATTTTGTTTCTCACAATGGTGAGTATCACAGTTTTATCCAATTTTAATTTGTATTTCAATTATTTCCACAATATCCTGTTATAAACTCCTACTACCCATCCATACAACCTCATATTCCATAACTTTTTTCAATATTATCCAGAAATTCTTTGTTCCATTTTTATTCAGTCACTTTTAACTCTGAGACAGACAATGTTAAGTTTTAATCTGAAGAAAAATATAAAAATAACACTCTTCATCTTTATGACCGTTCGTCACGAATGTTCACCAGATAAGACTTATATTTATGATGCATTTATCACCATTAGACTATTAATCATGCAGATACCTTGTAAGCTGAAATCACCTGGAAATCAGAATGTTACGCTCATCAAATCATCAACGAAGAGTCTTGCTGCAGCTAAATTTGAAAAATGAGTTTGAAAAAAATAGTAACATTTGCAGTGACATTTCAGATAGTAACTAAAAAATTATACTAAACGTTGGTACCGTCCATTCTAAAGATTCTGCTTACCGTGCAGAAATTGTGAACAGAAGTTCATTAGAAGCGGGTGTATTTTTTAGTGAAGAGCTGCTGCTATATTGAATTTATTTTGACAAAGAAGATTCAATAATACGATGGAGAAGAAAAGTGGTAGAGGAACCAGATCTAGAAAAGCTAAGACACGTGAAGAGAAAACAGTTCAAGTTGAGACTTTGCAGGAATGCGGCTCATCTGATAAGAACGTACGTGATGAGAAAATGGCCGCTGGAAATGTCGGAGCAAAGGTAAGCCATTCAAATATTTCTTGATTGTTTACTACACCATTTTAAATTTAACATAGGAGGAAACAAAAAAAGCATATAGTGGAAGAAGGGGTAGGAAGCCAAAAGTTAAAATTGTTATTCAACCAGAGGCCAGCCCAAGTGGTCTGAGTACGCCTCAAAATACAACACTAGTTGAAAAGACAGATTTTATGGTAATATGCAAGTACAAGCTTCCTCCACAATTTAGTTTAAAACCCACAAGACCTTATGAGGTAAGATGGGGTCAAAACTTCCTCAAGACGCTTAAACCAAACCCGAAAAGGACGAGTATTTTAAAAAAATCTCATGTTGGAGGCAAAGGAAAACCACGTTTACGTTTTTCAGAGACGACCGTCTATTATTTCGAGAGAGCACAACCACATTCCACCATACCAACAGAAGGAGATATAGCAGTAAACATGGAACGACACCATTTTTATTCCAATCTCCTCCCAGTAGATGCTTATGAAGCTCAAAAAGGGACACGTCAGAAGAGAACCCTCACTGCTATGAACCATATTGACAACGAACAAGAAATTCATAAATTAATCCTACCACCAACCAGCGATGAAAAGACTATAATTTTACACACTATACAAGTGCCAGTTGAACTTGTGGATGAAGAGGATAACAAAAAAAATATAATCATCCCAAAAGTTAAAAAATCATGCAGTTGCAACCTGTACTGTGATCCCGACATTTGTGAATGCAACTTGACAGGCAAGAAATGTGAAGTTTTTAAAGATGACTTTCCATGTGGCTGCAAATTAGAATACTGTAAAAATGCAAATGGCAGGGAGGCCTATAATGACAAGTACATACAAAAAAATATTGTAACCGTCTCTAACTCTCGCAATTCTGCTTCAACAACTGATGCAGTTAAAAGTGACAGAGTTAACAGAAGAAAACAGCTTGCTCCTCTTCCTTACAAGAAACATTAATGTAGTTGAGGCACATTGTTAGTCTGGTGAACATTTTCTTTTTCGGAGGACTGGCAAGATTGACCAAAAACGTTAGAGACACTTTACACTAAGTATAAAATTAATAAACCCTTTTAAAGTTCATAAATTCAAAAAAGTTTACCAGACTATCAATACCCAGCCTTCAGTTTCATAAAGATTGAAAGAATATCACATAAATCATACTTTTCTATATAAAAAAAAGTTTGCCTCTCTTTTTAGTGTTCCACAAATAGACAATGACTTTCTAAAATGATATAACAAGTAAATAATTACAAGGTTTATAAATAAATAAACTTAAATCAGTTGAAAATCTCATAAATAACTGGGAAATATTGCTGTCATGAAATAGTTATTTATTACCTGTTAGCTTCGATAATTTAATGTTTTTTTTTATTCTTTAATATTCTGACAGGTTTTCCAAAATGATAAAAACAACTTATACTTATACAACATTCCTCTGCTCCTGTAACATGTCTTTTATATAGGTACATTTCACAAAATATAAGTAAGGCACAGGTAAGATAAATACATGAAATGTGACAGTATTTAATGGCGGTTTGTAAAAATTAAAGAAGTCACATTTTGGGTAACGAAGCGTGGAACCAATTCGACCACTTTAATTTTCACTTACTGCGATTGTCAGTATTATCATACATATACCTACTATATCTATTTCTATATATATTTTTATAATCTCTCTTTAGTTTGATGTGAATTTTTATATTTTTACTAACTTGGTAACAGTTTATTAGAGTTTATTAAAAAAAAGGTGTGTTTGTAATAACCGTTTTAGTTTAACTAATTCAGAAATTACTACTTGCATATAGCTATAAGATTTTTTCTACTAACAATGTTTTATTTAAGTCTTATTTCTTGAATAAGACTGCTGTCAGAACTAATACATTCGATTTACTCTAAAAACGTTACCAAAGTTTTGGCAAATATATATTTTAAGTTTATTAATATTGTTGTCTTCAACATAGTTTTCAGTATATAGGGTTTGAGTGTGTTTTGTATTTTTTTGGGTTAATAAATATAATAAAAATATTAAGGTGTTTTTTTTTTCCTAAAAAACTTTAACTTGCAATACAGAAAATAGTATTTATTACTGCATATTTTACAGAATATTTATTAAAAAAAAAAAAAAAATGCAAATTATCACGACATTTAAAACTAGAAAAGAATTTACAGTGTTTACACAAAGAAATATAAACATTTACAAGTAGAAGACAATTAAATACTTATTTTACTTATTAAATAATTTAATCTTTAGCATAGTTCGCTACATATTCCATAACTTTCATTTTAAATTCTTCTTTTGAATGCCTATACATATCTGCTGCTTCTACATTGAGGGGATCTTCAAAATTCAATAAATCCTACAAGTAAGTAACTATATACAATTGTAAAATTCAATAATTGTCTGAATATAAAAAAAAGTAATTAAAAATATATTAAAACTGTACTGCAAATTCTTAGATATTAAAGTTAAAATTTAATAAATATTAAACATGGTCATTAATAAATAGATAACACCAAATAACAGAAAAATGTTTTTCAAAGTTTGAAATCTAAGTATGTACTACAAAACATTCTTATAAATGGAAATAAGTTTGACGGAATTGATGAACTTACGGTAAATAAGGCATGAAGACCCCATACAACATCGTTCAACCTTCTAATTGGGGACCATCCCATTCCATCTACACTATGCCTTCTAAGTAGAGATAGACAAACCTCCCCCGATTCCGTTATATTTGGATGCCATAGCCTTGTAATACACTTAACGACTGGGGGCTAAAAGCACAATTATTTACATCCTGACTTTACATACATGACTTAAACACACTTACAACCATGTTATATTCATCGGTAACATTTATTTCAAATTTAAATATACCTCCTTCCCAATAACCTTCTGTTGGTTTAACAATTAAAGTGAATTTGCTTAAATCATTCTCATTAGCATAATGAACAGAACAACACGCTGGAAGAAGTTGGGACATTTCCTGGGCCTCTTTTACTAAAAGTCTGTCTCTAATTGAAGCTCTAGAAGTGTTAGCTTCATCACTTTGAGTTCTTCGTTTTAGGCGTTGCGATAAAGTTATCATTATTTATTGTAGAGGAACAGAATGTGAAGAATACTATATTATTGTTGCTTTAGGATATTGTTTATTTAAACATTATTTATTATTATTAAAAACCATTTAGGTTATGTCGATTTATTTAAAAATATAGCAACCTTTTAAGCTATTTCTCACGAACACCACGAACAAAGAATTGTGGAAATGTCTTGTTTTCCAATTTAAAACGAACATTCCTTTCCATCGATTAAGTTTAAGTTGTACTATGATTTTTACCAAACTAATTTCAAGTATGACTATTAAGGTAAATGCAGATATATGTAATAAAAATTAATGTGCTGTTTTAATACATCAATAACAATTCAGCTAAATTAGTATGGAACATACCATCATGTGATTCATGTGGAACGTACCACCAACATACCTAACTTTAGCTGCTTTCCAATTGTCTTGGACCTGAAGTCCTGAACTGTTCTACTCTTTGAATACTCCAAACTTAAACAATTGGAACAGTTCCGAGAGGAATATAAATAAGCACTTAATATTTTTCAAATATTTGTTTTCATTTTATAACTCAAAAGCCACAGCCAAATATAAACTTCAATTATGAAAGCACGATGGCACAAATAATAATCGCAAGGAAATAATCCATAGTCATAAATAATTTTTATGTAAAATTTTTTTCAGAATTTCTAACCTCACATTGTGTAGGGACAGTTTGAGAGAATGAAACACTTTTGGAAAAAGTGGTGCGTGAAGAGAAGTGAAAACAAACAAGAACACCATGTTCCAGCTTATTGGAACGCAAAAAACCTATCTGATCTGATCTCGAAGTGCTTCTTAAGTTCATTTGTCAATTGGAAAGCGCTTGTGTCAAGTAAGCAATCAGGTCAGCATTACTATAGTATTTAGTTTTTTTTAATTGTGTAAAATCATGTAATATATGAAAATAATATGATATAAGACTAATAGCAACGCTTGAGGCTGAAATATATATATGCATATCTATTTGATTTGTACATAATACGCTGAAGTAAGACATGTCTAGTTCTCTTATCGTCTATCTCAAATTATATATATCATGGAGTGTAGATATAGAGGTCATTCTAAAATAGTCAAAATTCATTAATCAGTTAACCTATATTTTATTTGAAATTTAAAAAATTTAACATATTGTAATTTATATCATACGGATAAAATTTATTAAATTGACTTGTTCGTTCACTAATTATTTTGCAATACAGTCATACAGAGTAAGTTATTAGCTGTAACAATTATTAAATGAATAGTAAATAGCATTTAACCTATACAAATTATTATGGAGTATGTCCCTATTTTAAAAATATTTTTCTTTAGATGGAATCATTGAAACCTACATTAGAAGAACTCAATTTTTGTATGCGAGACCCCAAATGTATCAGAAATGTTTGTGTACTTGCACACGTAGACCATGGTAAAACTACTGTGTCAGATTTACTCCTAGCGACTAATCGTCTAGTAAGCAAACGAATGGCTGGATTTCTACGATATTTGGATGATAGACCAGACGAGCAGGAACGAGGGATAACTATGAAGAGCAGTGCTGTGTCATTGTTAAACTTAGTTCATGATGAGGAAGATGGGAAAAACAAAAAGATACTGTTAAATGTTATTGATACACCGGGACATATTGATTTTTCTTCTGAAGTTGGGGTAGCTTTAAGGGTGAGTGAAGAAGATATTGAATATGGCGATGTTATAGAACATGTTTTTGTTTTCAGGTTTGTGATGGTGCCGTTATTTTAGTAGATTTAGTTGAAGGAGTTTGTGTTCAAACTCGAGAGGCTATTAAAAAGGCATTTGAAGAAAGAGCCAAAATGATATTAATATTAAATAAATTTGATAGATTAATTGTTGAGCTGCAGAAAGATATTGAAGAAATTTTTCAGTTTGTGTTAAGGGCTATAGAAGATTGCAATGCTATTATCGCAGAACTGTATCACTATGAATTCCAGTATGATAATGATGTAGATATAGAAGATACTGGACTATTGTTTAGTCCAGATACCGGAAATGTAATTTTTGCAAGCGCAATTGATGCTTGGGGTTTTACAACCAAACAAATTGCTAGATTATTTGTTGATCTAGTTAAAAATGAAACTGTCGAATCTCTGAATAAAAAGTTATGGGACTTTGACTGCTACATTGATTCAAAAAAAGAAATCAAGACTGGTGCAATCGATAAGAAGAAAACCAATTTATTCATCCAATTCTGTTTGAAAACCATCATGCAAATTTATGACACTATCATTATCCGTATGGAAAAGGACAGAACAAGAGTTATTCTCGAAAGGCTGAAAATAAAGATTATTACAAAAGATATGACACATAATGATCCGAAAGTGCAAGTAAGAGCGATATTGCAGGCTTGGATGCCTTTGTCGTCTACAATACTTTTGCAGTGTTTAAAAATTATTCCACCACCTTGTCACATTGATAAAAATAAAATTGAGTACCTATTAAATATGAACCGCTTCTGCGAAAATCAGGATTTAAGTAACTGTATCGAAAATGTCATTCCCTACTTTATGAAAAGTTCCGTAGAAGATACTGCTCCTACTATTGTGTACATTTCTAAAATGTTTTGTGTGAATAAGAAAAACCTCTCTCAGAATAAACCAAAAGCTTGTATTCCAAAACCACGTGATAAATCTAATGTAATGCCTGTCGAAAAAGTTTCTGCTGAGGAAAAGCCGAAAAACTGTGAAAATGAAGAAAAACCTGAGGAAAACAAATACATCGACAGTGGTGTAGCAATAATTGCACTCGCTAGAATATTTACTGGAACAGTTCGAGTGAATCAATCTGTATATATAATGACGAATTCTTATTTACCCGATGTAAAGAAAATAGAAGAAAATTCAGAGGAGTTTGTTGAAAATAACAAAAACGTGGTTAAGGTTACTATAAAAGAACTATATATGTTATTTGGAAGAGAATTATTGTTAGTTGATTCAATCCCTGCAGGAAACTTCTGTGGAATCGGAGGATTAGAAGGTGATGTTATACGAACTGCAACAATATCTTCAACTTTAAATATTGTCCCTATAACTGAGCGACTTGTTACGAATCCTGTAGTGCGACATGCCATAGAACCGACTAATCCAAAAGAATTACCTATTTTACACCAAGGTTTGAAACTTTTAATGCAAAGTGACTCTTGTGTTGAAGTCGTCATGCAGAAAACTGGAGAACTTGTAATATTAACAGCAGGTGACGTGCATCTACAAAAGTGCATCGAAGATCTAAAATCAAAATTCGCCAGGATCGATTTTCATGTTTCCAGCCCCATGGTGTCGCTACGGGAGACGGTCATTAATGAAATTTCTGAGACGAGTAGTGAGATAGAGCTAGATACCGCTCAATTTGTGTTGACTGTGAAGTGTGTGTCTTTACCGAATTGTATTAGTAACGTTATAAAGAATAGCTATGATCTTTTGAGAACTATCGAGGAACATCAGCATAAAAGTTTTGTAGATATTGCTAAACAGTGCAAAGATACACGTGAAAGTGACTCAAATAGAACCGAGAAAGTCTTTAAAAGTGAATCAATCAAACGGGGGATCCTACATGTAAAAGAACTTTTAAAAACTGCGTTCGAGTCTGCAGGCGATCTGTGGAAAAATTTGTGTGAAAATATCTGGAGTGTAGGGCGCAGAAGTGACTGTATAAACCTTTTAATTAACAATACAAAAAATTATGCACAGAACATATTTCTCGAATTAAACGGATACGATAAGCGAGCATTTTTTGATCACTGTGTAGTTAAAGCCTTTGATAACTTGTGTGAAGCCGGGCCGCTTTGTGAGGAACTGTTAATGAACTGTGCCTTTATAATCGGCAAGTTTGACCTTAAATCGGATGTGCAGCCCCAAGATGTTACCCCCCAAGTTACTTCTGCTTTGGAGTCCAGTATTCGGGAGACTTTTAAAAAGGCGTTCCAGAACCAGGAGCAGCGTTTGGTGGAACCAATGTACATTACAGATATCCAAGTCAACACCAACATTTTAGGTGAGTACAAGTAAATTCATATTTAAATGTAGGATATATACTGACAAAAATTTTATTAAGGTATAAATTATATACAGAGATTAACATAATTAATTGTATAAATTGCATGTTTGGAGTATATATTATTAAATAATATAAATAATACTAAAAGTAAAGATAAAATATATGAAAATGAATGAAATACGGATGGTTAAAGCTCAATCAATTTCACTTTGCTTTTGAATAAAATATGTCTAGTACAAATGGGAAGTTGAGTGCATTACTAAATTTTAATTTGGATTAAAGTAATCGTCCCCTAAAAATTATAGACATAAAGTTGAAAGTGTCATTAAAACTATAAAATCTATGACTTCAACAATGTAAAATTGGTTGAATCATAAGTAATATGTTGTTTCTCAATTTAGCCATATTTAAATGTAAAATATAAAATTTAATTGCTAAAGTTTAAGTTAATCAAAGAGCGCGGCTCCAAATAATAAATAAATAAAATAATTTGTCATCAGTCTTGTTAAGTATAACTACTTAAAGTAGATGAGTTTAGATATTAGAGTAACACTATTTGTATCAAGCTGATAATAAATATTTCGTATTAAATATGGCTATAAATATAAATAAAATTTATATTACTGCACTATTGCACATATATTATTGTGTAAGTTATAAAAATATTTTCTGGGAAATATTTCTTGAGTATTAAATGACATTTGCTTATTACTAACACTAATCATATGATTAACTAAAATTAAATAAATTCGGTTACATTATTGATAAATGCAAGTGTACTTATCGCAAGTAACTTTTACCGATAATCACAATGTCTAAAAAGGCCTAATAAGTTTAATCCCACGATGCAGTCTTAAATAAATCGGCAGCTTTTTTCCAAGGGAATTTTGGAATTTCTAGAGACCGTAAGGTCCTCAACGGCCTTCCTCTGCGCTTGTTACTATCCACACACATCATTCCGTAGACTCGTATACCTGGCACACTCGCATAAGTTGGTTGATCATGAGACATTGGTCCTTCTATAAGAGAAAATATTTTGCTATAAATATTTCAAATGTAGCTAGATTTAATATAAAATATTGTTTCGTAAATGTAGTTGCATTTACTTAAAGAGTTAATCCACTGATCTCTATTATGGATGGCTAGTGACGAAGATATTGATTAGTATGAAGCCGTACAAAAATTTTTGCATTTTTTAGGGCGAAACCCAAGCAGATTTTGCCTAGTTCAGTAGTTGTTGCTACCATGAAAAATGTTTATTGATGGTGATGGTAATTTCGCGTTATGACATATATTTTTTAAGTGGTTTGTACTTATAATTAAATTTGCAGAATTTTACGTCTTTTTAACCCTAAAGCTGAATTTTCTTTATGACAAGTTTTGTACATGTTCGCGTACATTCGCGCTACGTCTCCGGTTTCGTTCATGCGTTCTTTACGCAATCTGCGTTTATCGTCGATCTTATACTAAATCAAAATCTGTTTGGCTGAATTTTTTGTATCTAATAACGGTCCATTTTCCTAGTAGAAGTCAGAGGTTAAATCTCAAATGTTTAAATGTTTCTTACCTAGTACGCTGGTATCGGGACATCGGCAAATTACTAAATAATGAGATTTTCCAGTGCGAATATTTTGTAGAGCTAAAAGAGACCAATCTCTTGGGGCACGGCAGATTCTCATTTCAGTGGTGGGTTCGCATGTTTTTACCAAAGTTAAGGCTCGCTAGAACAAGGTTAATTTAAATTAAAAAAAAGAGCCAATTCGTGTGATTCATAGTTTCTAAAATACCTTTACAGAAAGTGTACATTTAACTAGCAGTTTTATACGAGTTTTATATTTATGTACGTAGTTGATGGAATTTAGAAAAAAAATCATTAGATACCAACATTTTTTTGCTAATGCAATTACTTACTTTATTATAATTTCGCCTAATTCCTTTATTTTTAAGAAAAAGTGTACCTAATATGTAAAAAACTGCTCAACTTCGTCCTAAATAGTTAATCAATCGTTTAACATCCTATTTGGCTACTATGTACAGAGTGATCCATAATTCTCTTTTCATTGTAATTCACTTCTTTAATATTTAAGTAGAATCAAATGTAGACATATTCAATTTAAAAGTTTATGTCGAAAAAACAAATTTATAGAAGAAACCACGCCATATTTCTTTAACTTTTCAAAAAATTAGTCATATTTAATTTGTACTTTTTTTTAGTTAACTTCGTATATTTTAGTTTCATTAAATAATATTTTTAATTGCCGCAATATGAAAATAGATTTTGTTATGTTTAAAATAATAATTTAATAAAAAGGGCAGACTATTTTATGTCCTTAATTTTTTTTTATCATTGTGCTGAATTTTTGGCAACCCTAGGTATCAAATTTTTTAACTATGCATGTATATCGTGTACCTATTAGCATTTCTATTATAACGATTATTTCGTTTATAAAATAAAAAACTATATTATGTTCCTAGATTCATATGTAATTAATCTGTTCGGTGCAATTGAAATAAACGAGGTTAGTAAAAAAATCAATACTGCTGAAATAAGCTTCCAGTCAAATATGTTATACCTTTTTTTCAGAAAATACAGTATTTGATAGAATGTACGTCGGTTTAGTTATTTATTATATTGTAATTTGTTTAATTTTCAACTGTTGAAAGCTTTGTAATAGAGTAGTAGGCTTTTACTTATCTAATTATTAATGAATATAAAAGAGATGAGCCTTGTTGGGTATTTCTCTTAAGAAATGCTTATCAAGTATATTGACAACACTGTATCGAGTTTGCTTCTTACAACAGAAGATAGTGGTTTAGCGACACCGCGAAACAAGCGAGTCCGATTCTAATTCAGAAAATAAAACAAATCGTATATACCTACCTCTAACAATTTTAAATTATAATTTCTGAGTCACATAATAGCCGTATATACGTCTTCATTTTATCCCCGCATCCATTCTTCGAAGAGCATGTCTTAGCAGCGTGGCCGGTGGTCTCTTTCGAATTTTAAATGGTGAATCATGAAAATTTCATAGTACGCCTCACGAAAAAGTGACACAAAAATTTATGCGGTAATAAATCTTTATTTTCTACTTAAAATCTAACTACCGATTTCTCTATTTTTTTTTTACTAGTAATTGGATCAGATCAGTGTTGCTTTCGTTCGTTAATGACGATCAAACTTAGTACAACTTTTACCTGCGTTTCATTTAAAATGTTGCTCTGCATGTAATTCGTTTTTCTAAATTCTTAAAATTAGGTACATGGATAGTATATTTCTTGTCTTATTTAAATTAATGTGATATTTTTGCGAAATAAGCGAAGTAAGAGCGGCAACGTTGTGTGCACTCCGGGATAGCGAAATTTTCAGAAACCTTGTATGATATTTATTGCCAATGTTATACTTTATAGTTCCTAAGTGCATGGAACTGAGATATGGTTAACACCTCCACAAAGAGAATAAATCAGGCATCTACAATACAGTTTGTGCAGGTAACTTAATATAAAAACAAGAACAGAGAAAATAAGTACGTATTCTACTACGATTTGGATTTTAGCTCAAGGCATGCATATATTTAGCCTTGATATTAACGATAATAGGTTGATAATTTTTCTGATTCTTCAACTCTATAAATAATATAAACACATCTGCATAACACTTAAAGCGAATGTAAATCTTGATAATTAGAGCTACCAGTTAAGTATAAATTTACCCTATCTTCTGCATTCTTCAGTTTTTGTGCCTTCAGGGTATTTGCTTGCCACAGCGACATTTCCAGTAATTTGTCATGCTATTATGTACAGATTTCATTCTTGATAAATTTTATGAGCATATTAAGTATTTTGTTTACAAGTTTATAATTTCCGCTTGATATCGTCTTAGTGGTTTCATTTTACTAATTAGCTGAGTATCGTATTAATTCACTGAACAATTTTCTCAATTTGGGTCACTCTGTATAAGCAGCAGTATGAGTTTATTGTAACGCGGTTCGTATCGGAACAGAGTTTATAAATCTCTGTATAAAACGACAATTATACCTTGGATTTTCTGTCTATCATTAATTCCGTAGTATGCTGGTCGTCAGAATTCAGAGAAGCTGAACAAGGGTCTCTATATCTTGAGGGACAGGCACATAGCGGCTGAGTCCAATTTAATCTGATGTACACTGCGTTGCAAACCTACAAAATCAAACATACAGGGTGGTAATGTGGTAAAGACAATGGTAAATGGGTCTGTTAATATTCGAGATATAAAAAAATTTAAATAAAAGTTAGAGGGGATCAGAACAAACAAAAAAACCAGATTAACGATGTTTTCTAAAACGACTTCTAGATTTTCTGTCGAATTACTCAATGATATTGAAGCTATAGACTCGACATTTGGCACAGTCTATTTCCTTCATCGTAGCTACCTACTGATAGAATTTGACCAAGAATTAACCAGTGGCTTCGGAATTAGAATGGTCTCAGGTTTTTCAACTGTCAATTTTTTTTTCAGACTTTGATGAACCATTTCCAAATGAAATTTTTGTGCCTCTTGAGTTTCTTTGTAGAAGTTAAAAATTCAAAAAGCACATAAATTCGAAGATAATCAGATTATCAGTCGGGGCACTTTCTTAGGTACTTACAATTAGATGTAAAGAATACAATAATTATTAATTAGATAATCTTCGTCTTCTTGCTCATAAATTTAATTTTTGAAAGTTGGTGAAAGGTACTTCTTTGATCTCAAAGAAAAGTCCAGATACCAATTTTCAAAACTGTCCAAATCTGCGACAAAACATTTTCTCCGCAGTCAAATAACTGATTTTTGATTTTGACAACTGCACCCTCAGATCCCATCTACATCCGTAAATGATTATATTTCACTTCCCAATCTTTGAAGTCAGTGAAGCCTTAGGAATCATATCCGAAAGTTTGTCTCAACGTCGGTGTTACATCCTGTATAAAACTTTTTTGCGTACCTGTTGTATTGCACATTCCGGGAGCAAATAAAT